TAACATTTATTTATTTTGAGAGAAAGAGCTCGAGCGGGGCAGGGGCAGAGAGAAAGAGAGAGAGAATCCTAGGCAGGCTGCCCACTGTCAGCAGAGCCCAACGTGGGGGTTGATTTCACCAACAGTGAGATCATGACCTGAGCCAAAATCAAGAGTCAGATGCTTAACCAACTGAACCACCCAGGCATCCCGAAATTGTTTTTTAGCCTTGCTGTGCTCCTGTCTAGCTGTAGAAGAGTAACTCTGACAGTATTTATAAACACACTGTACTGGTAAACTGTTTTTTAAGGCCTTGTACAACATATTTGAATATCATTGATTTTTAAAAGGTGTTTCGTGTACATCTCTTTAAGTCTGAAATTAGTTAGTGCTCTAATAGTATTCACAAAGCTTAAGAGCCTGAATAGAATTAATTACTTATGATACCATCATTATGGACACAGAAGAGTGATGTGTTTTTGTTTTAAAGTTTATATATTTATTTTGAGAGAGAGCGCAAGCACAGGAGGTGCAGATAAAGAGGGAGAGAGAGAATCCCAATCAGGCTCCATGCTGACAGTGGACTCAGTCTTACCACTGTGAGATCATAACCTGAGCCGATATTCAAGAGTCAGTCACTTAACCAACTGAGCCATCCAGGCACCTGGAAGAGTGATGTTTTTTGCAGTGATGCTATTACCCAGTATGAACCAACAAGCAACCTAAATCCATACTTGTGCTCTGCTCTAAAAAAAAATGTGACCTCTGAACCTAGGTTCCGGTCCAAGCTCCTCACTTACTGCCATATGATATTGGGCAATTTATTTACTTCTTAACATGTCAGTTTCATCTTCTGAACAATGAGGATTGTAACAGTATCTACCTCCTCCAGAGTTGTGAAAACTAAATGAAGTATGTACTGTGTTTAATGCCTAGCACTTGGTATGTATTCAGTAGGTGTTAGTTGCTCTAAGTAGCATCATCTTTTTAATGAAATTTAAATTCTAAGACCAGGCTGTCATTTATTTATGGGTTAATAAAATAAACTGGTTTTTAAAATGTTTTGCCTATCTGAGATTACTTTTTATGTAGTTCCCTCACCCCCCTAAAAGGGAAAAATTCTGAAAATGTTATGGACCAAATCTCTTAAGATCACTTTTATTAGATCCCTAGAGCAGACCTTTGCTACTGATGTAATGGACTCTGGGTTTCAGGATTTGTGGGATTAGCCAGGGTCTGAGGCCACCATGGCCTCTGGGTTGATTATGAATAGCCATGTTGACATTCCCTGTATGCCATGCAAAAATAACATTTTCTGTGAGACTCTTGGTATAAAAAAGGTTGAGAGGCACTGATCTAGAGGATATTCTGATTCCTTCAACCCTTAACCTTCTTATTTCATAGCTGGCATTTGAATCTTTGGCTGTGATTGGAAATGCTCTAACCCTCCTGGAAGTGGGTCAGATTGCTGTGTGCAGGTAAGGGTGCTTTTTAATCCCAGTGGGAAAATCAACTTCCTTTTGTTACGTTGATCACACAAAAAACACTGCATTTGTTTTTTCTATCCGTAGTTTTGGAGAGTCCGTAAAGCTATTACACCCATTCCACGAGCAGTTCAGTGATTCCTCGGGTTCCCAGATTCTGCGGCTCTGCAAATTCCAGCAAAAGAAAACCAAGATTGCTCAGGTATGCTTGTATCACATGTCCTCTGAACAGCCATTCTTCAGCAGGTGTGGGAGAGACATAATTTTTAGCACTCCCTCCTCCCCAGTATGGTGTTAGGACAGGTAAAAATTTCGAGGAAACAATTTCGGGATGCCAGGCTGGTTCAGTTCTAAACCTCAGGCCATGCACCACTGGAATAGAAACTTCCCTGGCATCCATTAACAAACAGGGTGTGAACTCTTTTTCTGAGTTCCTCAAGGGTTTCTGACTTTACATCACTAATTTTCAGGCTCCCTACTCTTTGAGAGATTTGGAACTTTTGTAGGAATAAACTGTCTCCCCGCACCCTTAATCGGGCCAATTTCTCTCCCCCATTTGACCTAGAGAAGAAATGATGTAAAATAGAGCCAATGACTTGCTCAGGATGACGTAAGTTCAAAACACAGCCCAGGATAATGATTCTGTCCTCTTCATTTTTGCCCTCATCTAGCCTACTTTCTTTATGTTGCACTAGACATTTTATGTTTTCTTGCCCTTTTCTGCTCAGCTATTTTCTTCTGAAAGACGACAGCTGTTCTGTTCATTTGGGGGAGTTACTGATGTCTTGTCTTCACCCCCCCAGGGGAAGTATTTCTTTTCCTCTAGGGTGTGTTACAGAACACTAGTGGTGTGTGTGCCAAAGACACATGTCCGTGCTGGAGAATGCCAGTGCCCAGGGGTACATGCTAGCACTGAAAGGATCATCATCCCCTTTGGACGGGGGGCGGGGAGGAACGGTTTGATTGCCTAGAGATCTGAGATGGTTATTTTGATAATCTCCTGAGTGTCAAAAGTAATTTCAATCTCTGTGACAGTGGGAAGGGTTTTCGTGGTTTTCTAACGGCCTGTCTCTGGTTCTGGTCTAGTTTCTCGAGTCTGTAGCCAGCATGTTTGCAGCTGCTCAGCAGCCCTCCCAGCACGCCAATCCAGGTGAGCTGCAGTTCTCATCTTTATCCACACAATGCTTTTCTACTGTGTGCATTCACAAGCCACTTGCTTCATGCCACAGAACCCATCTTTTAAAGTGGACGCTGCATAGGAAAAGTTATAAGCAGGAGCTGGAGAGATATTAGGCATTCATGTAATTTGTTACTCAGCCATTTATCCATTCAGAAATTTGTGTTGAACCCATACTCATGAGGCTTATAACCACTGGAGGAATTAGATACTAATTAACTACACCTGGCCCTTGAACAATGCGGTAGCGGGGTGGGGGTGGGGGGTAGGAGCACCAAGCCCCTGCACAGTTGAAAATCCGTGTAACTTTTGACTCCTCAAAAACTTAGTTACTCATAGCCTACTGTTGACCAGAAGCCTTTACCGATAACATAATTAGCAAGTTTGCATATTATATGTATTTTATACTGTATCCTTACAGCAAAGTAAGCTAAAGAGAAGAAAAGGTTAAGGAAATCATAAGGAAGAGAAAGTATATATGCAGTGCCATACAGTAAGATACCCACATATAAGTGGACCTGCTCACACACTTCAGACCTGTGTTGTTCAAGGGTCAGCTGTAGTTTGTTATAACAGAGTTAAGCGTTGTGAAGGAGGAGCAAGGTGTAGGATTTTAGTATAAAGAATATTTTGTAATATTTTAATAACGGAGGGAAGCAGGGGAGGACATAATTCAGAAACCAGCTAATCCAACCATGATTGACTTAGGGCTTGAAACACACCAGTTCTGTATCTAGCTCTTCCTAAAATCTCTCAATCTTGATCGTTTCATGGAGAACCTTCCTATTTGAAGCATGTCCTTCACACCTCTCAACACTCACTAAACTTCCTTGAGAGAAAGACTGCCCTCGTGCACTGTATGTAGTCTTCCATTGGAAACATTATAGGTAAACCATGAATACAAACGTTAAAAAATTATTTTAATGGCCCCTTCTACTTGTTTTCTTTTAAATGAGTCAATTTTAAGAGGAGAAAAATACCCAGATTAGGTACAAGAAATTTGGAAGACCCAGTTCCAGGTTTCTGATTTAGGCAGTTTCTTCTAATGGCCTACTCAGTATTGCCATTGTTATACTTTATAGCCATGAGTATATGTTTAATTCTTGTATGTTGTTATACGATGAAATTGATCTAATGTGATAGGGAAATTGTTTTATTGACCGAAGCTTCATATGTCTGTGTAGCCTTGTGTCCGACTGTGGCATCTAATGTCCCATCTTAGAGGTCCCTTTTGCTTATGTCCAGAATTCATCAGTTTCAGATGTCTGTTTAGTGTCGGCTTTCTCTGTGCTATTAACCTATTTGTCTTTAGGTAGCTTGGAGTTGTTAACAGTGGGATCTTCATTTTGTTCCCTTCCTCTCCTGCTGTATGTTCTACCACAGAAAACGCACAGCTCCTCCTGGTGGTCTCTGATGGGCGCGGCCTTTTCCTCGAGGGCAAAGACAGAGTCCTGGCAGCAGTCCAGGCTGCCCGGAATGCTAACATCTTCGTCATTTTTGTTGTATTGGACAGTCCCAGTTCACGGGTGAGTGATTACTAAAAGCTGCTTTTGGGGATAAAGTGGGGATACCCTTCATCATGTTCTATCTGAAATATGGCCTAGGTCACACCTTAACTCCTTATGTTCTGCCGGACACTATCCGAGGCACTGTATTTTTTGTTAATACTCCCACTTTACAGTAAAGGACAGAAACACAGGTCATAGGTCAAGAAAGCCAGAATTTGGACATTCCGGAGACCACCCTCTTAACCACTTGCTGTGTCAATTCCTGCTCTAGTGGGTCATCCTTTCCCTCCGTACTGTGTCATTTCCAGTACTGCAGCCTTGATGATGGGCCTTGTCTACTTCAAACTATATACCAGCCCTTTCCAGTTACTGGTATCCTAGCAGTGCCCTTCTCAGAGCAGGAAGCATCAGTTGCTAAGTGAAAGACCCCCACAGGACAGCTCTGTTCCAGGCGAAGCATGGTCTCTGCAGGTCACATTAAGGCCTGGATAACAAGTAGGAAGATTTAATGTGAATTACTCCAAGTAGAATATGGGAAATTGGGTTTTCTGGTCTCTCCCTCTTTTTCAGTGTCCATTCTCCTGGAAGGGGTGCTCAGAGATCTGCCTCCTTAATGAAAGTTCTGCAAATTGTTTCTTAATAATAAAAGCTAATTTTATATTAGGAGTTAGATACAGGAGACCTAAAAACTATTAGCAAAAGAGATCAGGGAAGAGCTAGCCAAGGATACTGGTTTGGTTTTTATTTCAAAATGTCTCCTGTTTACAGGATTCTATCTTGGACATCAAAGTGCCCATATTTAAAGGACCTGGAGAGATGCCTGAAATCCGATCCTACATGGAAGAGTTCCCGTTCCCATTCTACATCATCCTTCGCGATGTGAACGCGCTCCCCGAGACGCTCAGTGATGCTCTTAGGCAGTGGTTTGAGTTGGTGGCAGCCTCTGACCACCTGTAGGGAAGGAACACAGTCTAAAGTGAGACTTTACACCATTGTCAGACTTTGGCGCCTCCAGCCTGTTGCTCCCTCTTTTGGACAACTGCTTGCGAACTCACAGCTCTAAAATGTTATTTTATCTTAGATCTGATTTCTAAAGATTCATCTAATAGCTGCAGACAGTTTTTATTACAATGTACTCTTTATCTTATAATGTGCTTTCAGAGCCTGGCCAGCCTCGGCCTCTGCTGTTGCCCCGGCTACAGCCGTAACAAACCCAGGGCAGCGGCCGGTGTCTGGACCTGGAAGCCCCAGCCCAAGAGGAGGCTAGGGCCCAGCTGCTGCCCCCCTGGAGGAGTAGCTGCTGGGAGAAGGGGACCGTCCCAGTCCTTTGGACAAAGGACCACAGGCAGCTGCCCTTGTGACTCTGCTCTGAGGCTCCGCCTTGCCGATCCCACGGTGTGTATCTAAATGCCGTCAAGAGGCGGAGACAGCTGCAGCTTTCTAGAGGCTCGAGTGCGTGTGTTTTGTCATTGTGCTTCATGTGCAGGGAACTACCTTCTCTTTGAGGGTTAGGGAGGTCAGGGTGTGTGTGCTCTTACAAAGCAACCAGATAGCATAGGAGCCCAGGTAAGCCGAAAAATGACCCCCGGGCTGTGTAAAAATGAAGTGGCTTTTCTGTGCCGTCCTTTGCATTTGCTGCTGCAGGAGACTATGCAATGATGGAAAAGTGATTTTCCCTTTGGTTATTTCATTCTCTCAGCGCCACAGTCCCTGGTGTCGTAGTAATTTATTTCTTTAGTTCATTTTTTTTCTTAACCGTTAAGGGGAAGAATATTCCTCACACTGCTTTCAAGCTGGACTGAGCCAGTCTCGTTCTGGAAAAGAAATGCCATGTTTAAGAAAACTAAGTACTTTTTTTCCCCCCCAGTTAAACTACATCAATGATTTTTAGACAGTTTTTACTTGGCCAGAAAGCACTGATTGAATACTTGAAATTGTTGCTGTGTTCTATTTAAGTTGTCAGAATGTCGTTTTGTAGACAACATGCCATCACGTAATCGTCTATCTCCTGTTTGTTTTCAAGTTACACTGTGAAGTTTGCCACATTTTTGAGGTGGTCATCGAAGACACAGATTGCTTGTTGTTTAACCAAGTGTCCTAAAGCATGTACCTGAAGTTATATCATTTTTTATTCTAAAAAGCTATGCAGCTTATATTCTGAAAATTATTAAATATATACCACTGTTGTAATTTGTGACCAGTTTAAGTGTTTGAGAGGTGGAAACTGCAGAGAGTGAGTGGGAGAGAATCTGAAGCAGGCTTAGTGTGGAGCCCGATCTCAACAACCCTGAGATCAAATCCAAGAATCAGATGGACTCACCAAGCATCCCTGCAACCATTCTTAATGGGACACAACAGGTGTGTAAAAGGTGTGCTAAGGGAATGATCTTGTCTGCTGGATCAGCGGTCACTAGCTTACGCTGGACCCACCATGGACCCACCACCTTAGTGGCTTCCTGAAATAAGGGTTTATTTCTTGCTTGTGTTTCATGTCCATGGTGGGTGAGCTGCCCACCATGCTCTGGCCTTGTGGCACAGGAAAGGGTAAGTTGGTGGAAAACAATGGCTTCTACAGATTTTGCTCCAAAATGACAGGTTTCATTGGCCATAGCTGTCTATAACGGGTCTGAAAGGGAAAGACACCAACATTCTGATGTGGTCTGTCATATGTACCTTTGAAATTGGACCATCGAAACTGAAGCCTCCCTGCTGATACCCAAGAGTCTCGTTTGCAGCTTGTGCTGTGATGGGAAACGTGGGAGCAGTCCCAGGAGACCTATCAGGAACTGTGACAGGGTGAGGGTAAGCAGCATGATGCACTTGAGTCACTGAGCAGGAGTTAGAGGGTATGCTTGCTCTCACTTGGAGCTTAACCATTATAGCTGCCTTACGTAGTCTTCATCCAAACCCCAATCTTGTCTGGTCTTTTATCCCGTCTTCCCTTCTGCTCTCCTGACTACACTGCACCTGGACACTCTTATTTTAGAGAACCCCAAGCAGGCTCCATGCTCCATGTGGAGCCCCCCACATGGGTGCCCACAACCCTGGAATCATGACCTGAGCCGAAAATCAAGAGTCCGATGCTCAACTGACTGAGCCACCCAGGCACCCTTGGAGTGCTTTTAATCTGTAGTCTGGACTACTTTGGTGGTAGCCCAGACAAGTCGCATTGCCTGCTTCATCTCATAACATCCAAGAAAGAGATCATGCTTCTAGGGTGACCTCTCCTGTCCCTTCTCTCCCAGAATCCCTATCACAGAAGGTTCTGGTTACAGCAAGTGAGAAGTCCTGGAATCTGCTAGCATCCTAGGTGTCCTTTGGAATTTTCTTACCTAATGTGCCTTTCTGGAAACACCTACCTAGTTCAGAATAAGCCCTCAGGTATGAACCCTGACACCATCTGTAATATTGCACTGGACTTGCACTCCCACTTTAGGCAGGAAGACCTAAGACGGGAGCATCTATGACTCATGACAGTATTTCAGGGTCTAGCATGAGTTCATGTATAAAAATGTCTTTTCTAATTTATAGATTCAACACTATCAATTTTAATAAAGATTTTACAATGATCTGTAGGGAAAGGATATAAAAGATTCTTACAAGAAACTACAGGGGAGTAGTTCTGCCATTTAATAAAACATACTAGTCCTAGGTGAAATAATCCTGAACAATTTGTTTAGACCCTAAAAAAATTTACCATATGGGCATCATTTATTTATTTAGAGCACATGAGCCAGGTGAGGGACAGAGAGGAAGAGAGAATCCCAAGCAGGCTCCATGCTGTCAACTGTCAGCACAGATCCTGATGTGGGGCTTGATCCCCTGGGATCATGACCCAAGCCATTATCTAGAGTTGGATGCTCGATTGAGCCACCCAGGTACCTCTGAAGAATGATCTAATAAATAGTGTCCAAATTATAGTTTAGGAGCTGGCAAAAATACTGACATCCACATCATGCCATAAATCAAAATTAAAATGTTTACACCACCTAAAGTTAACCAGGAAGACATAAATACAGAATTACAAAGCTCTGAAGGGGAAAAGATGAAATTGAGAAGGCTTGAAAGAATAATACATGACTATATAGAAACTTCTGAAAGCTATATAAACAGAAGGACTAAAATTGCTTTTAGTTTTGAGAGAGCACAGGAAGGGCAGAAAGAGAGGGAGGGAGAGAATCCCAAGTAGGTTCCTCACTGTCAGTATGGAGCCTGATGTGGGGATTGATCTATCGAATTATGATCATGGCCAGAGCTGAAATCAAGAGTCAGACACTTGACTGAGCCCCCCAGGTGCCCCCAAAAGGACTAAAATTTTTAAACAGGCAAACAACCCATATAAAATTAGAATAAAAACCTTGATCACCATAAATGGACCAGTCATGACAATTCATAAAAGTGGCAAGGGATATTTAACTTCACTTTTGTAAGAAAAAAAGGAGTTGCTATTGCAATTACACAAAACTTCAAAAGTAGTCACAGCATCACTCATACAATGCCTGGTAATGTTCAAGAAAGCTAATCACCAAGAGTATAGGTGGCAGGTCCTGTTTCTAGTAGGACTCAGGTAGGTCTTGCTTCACTTTACAGATGAGGAAAGAGGCTGGGAGAAATCAAGTTGCCAGAAAAACACAATTAGAAAAGGGGACCACACCAAACAATTCCAGCAAGTGACACAATCAAGTAAATGCTCACTAAACAGGTAACCAAATGAAAATTTCTGGCTATATTCTACTTTAGAACAATTCTATTTGACAAAAAATACAGCAAAGATTCACTAATCCTACTTACATAAGGGCAGTTATGTGTTGTGGGGAGAATAAAATTACAAGGCAATAAAAGCTTAAAAGTGTGCGCATTTTCAGTGTCTTATTAGTGATACAAAATTGTTAAAACGCCAATGGGGCAGCCATTTAAAACCTCTTAAGAACTAATGTGAAAGTTAATAAAGGGAGACTCACAGGAGTCAGGAGGCTAGAAAGGAAAGCTGTACCACTCAGTGTCCCTCCCAGGAAGAATTGTCCATTACAGACTCAAAACAGGTCAATAGAAAAGAATCCTAAATTACAGGCGCCAACAGGGAAAAGCTGGAAGAGGTGCAATGTACAAGACTTCAACCTCCCCTGAAACTCAGTGAGAAATCATCACCCTCAACTCTTATTTTCCAATGGACTTTTCAAAACAACCCCCCTCAACTTTCTTCTTCATAAAATAAGATCCCCCCCTATGTTCATTGGGCTTGCCTATGGTTTTGCCAGAGCTTGTAGGTACCCAATTGCGAATTCTCTATTCCCAAATAACCCCATTTTTACTGATAAAATAACCTTTATGTTTAAGATTAACATAACTAATGGCAACCATGAAGATTACCACCATGAGGAAATTGCTTGCAAACAGAAAACACCAGGATGGAACAGAAAAAAAAAAAAAAAAAAAAAAAAAAAAAGATTTTAAACATACCTTCATTATTTCTAACTATGCACGTTTAAAAATCTCAAAAGGAATACACTAAATTTTACCCCTCACTCTCAAACTTCCATTTAATAAAAACCACAGTGCCAGGAACTGGGCCAGTTGCCTTGCCACTCCTTTTATCACAGCTATTTGTGGCACAAGAACTGTAATCCCCTCTCACCCAAAAGAAAATTTAGTCGAAGACAAAACTGTCCAAGGTTATACATAGCTCATTACTGGTTCCAACTGCTGGGGCTTCAGTTTAGACACACTGCAGGGGATTTGGGGGCCAAGTGTAATCCACAGGCCGTATCTCAGGAAACCGAGCTCCCTCCCCCCACCGCCTGCTGACCACGCCCCCACTTCCGCTCCTGCGCATTGGAGCTGTAGGGGAACCACGCTGCCTGGAGGACATGGCTGCTTCCAGGTTACCCCCGGCGACTCTAACACTAAAGCAGGTAACACCTGTTCTCGAAAGCCTTCTAGGGCAGCTTCCCACGGTCTGATTTCAATTATCCGTCTCTCCCTCCACACCCCCCTGCAGAGTGGGGCTCGGGGGCGGCTTAGCCCTCCGGGGAATTCTGACCCGGTGCTCACTCCCCCTGAGATTGGCCCGGCTTGGGGCGGGGCTTCCTGCTGCGGAAGCTGGGGTGGGGGCTGACCTCTGGCCACGGATTCGGCGGGCCACCCGCCAACCCGCTGCCTATCTCTTGACGCTTTGGCCACGGGAAAGATTGCTCTGGCTGTTGTACTGAGCTATTGTAAAGAATGAGATTACCAAAGGATTTTAACAACTGCATTGGTTTAGAAAAAGTGCTGTTACAGTAATCACAGGTTTTAGTAACTGGTAGCCCTTTTTCTGCCCAGTGGTCATCTTTTGACGTTAAAGATTCTTAGGTTTGACAAAGGAGTAAGCAAACAGCCCAAACTTTTTGCCTTCTTCTGAAAAGGAAAAAGTTTTTCTTTGGTCCTCAGTTTTGAAAAAGGCAAAGAAAAGTCATCTGTTTAGTTTGGTTTCCCAAAGTAAAGCCCTCTGGGCTGTAGGTTTTGCAGTTGTATTGACATTTCTCCTCCATTCTACAGTTCATGAGAAGGCAACAAGTTCTACTTCTCTACAGAAGGATTTTGCAAGCAATTCGGCAAGTTCCAAATGATTCTGATCGCAAATACCTTAAGGACTGGGCAAGGGAAGAATTCAAAAGAAACAAAGGTGCCACCGAAGAGGTGAGAAAGAGATCACAGGCAGGACAGGCCCTGACCATTTTGTATTAATTGGCATTTTTTTTTTTAAAAGATGAGTAGACATCTTGTAGTATGTCACAGAGATGATATATCTTCGTCATTGCTTTTAATGTTACTATTTTTCTGCCCCAGTGATATTTTAAATTTCCTAATCTTTGCTCTACAGTAGCATCACCTGTCTGTTAACTGGACATACATACACACCTGAAAAGATTATAAATAGGACAGCATGATGGTTTGGGAAGTGTGATGACTAGGGTATCTGAAAGCATGCCAGACACTGTGCACCCATAGTTGTCAGCTTGGAGCTTTCCTGATACCCAGAAGTTCCAATTCTCAGTATTGGTTCCTGACTAACAAATAAAATGATAAAGTACAGCTCTATTTAATCAGGTAGAACAATGACCAGATTTCACTTTCTTCTACAGGATACAATCCGGATGATGATTACTCAAGGCAATATGCAGCTCAAGGAGTTAGAAAAAACTCTTGCTTTGGCAAAATCTTAACTGTAGCATTATCCTGAAAGATTTTCAAAGTCTCCATGTATATTGTTGAGCTGATTCGACTCCATGATAGACAGCCTAACACCAAGTCAAACTGTACAGTACTTGGGAAAATACAGGACATGGAGCATGGCATGTCAAAGAAAAACACATCAGAACAATTGCCTTAACACTGAAAAATATACTTTGTATTCTGAAAATGTTTTTGGATATGTCAGCAGTTTAAGCAGCAAAAACCAGTACAGGTGGTCAGTGCAGAAGGTGATCCCTACCATTAACTATCTGGGAAATGCAAGTCTAAACCACACTGAGACACTACCATATCAGCTGAAATAACTAATTAAAAAGATAATAACAAATGGTGGTAGAGATACAGGAAAACTGAACCTCTCACACATTGCTGTGGGAATAGAAAATGGCACAGCCACTTTGGAAAACAGACTGTCAGCTGCTTAAGAGAGTAAATTCGACAGTTCTGTTCCTAGGTCTGTAACCAAGAGAACTGAAAACCTTTCTACAAAAAAACTTGTACAGGAATATTCACAGCAGCATCATTCATACCAGCCAAAAAATAGAAGCAATCCCAATGCCCATCAACCGATAATAAATATGATGCCTATAGATTTAGTAATAAAAAGGAATTAAGTACTGATACATGCTACACATGGATGAACCCTGAGACCAGTCTCAGAAAACCACTTATTGTAGGATTCCATTTACATGAAATGTCTGAAAGAGACAGAAAGAGGTGGTTGCTCAGGGCTGTGGATAGCCTGGAGAGGAATTTAATGGATATGGGGTTCCTGTTCTGGGTAATGAAAGCACTCTAAAGTTAGATTGTGGTGTTAGATGCACAACTCAATATACTCAAGTCCAACGAATTGTACATTTTGCATGTATGGTATGTGAATTCTGCTTCAACAAAGCTAGGTTTTTCTGATTTTTTTTTTTTTTTTTTACTGATATACAGCAGTACTATGCGTCAATTAAATAAGTCAATAAAGCTGTTTTAAGAAGCAGTAGGAGATTTATGATTGGAAGCATACTGACCTCAGGAGATACCCTGGACCTTTCTTGAAAAAAGTCCTTCTGTGTTACCCCTCAGGGTTGTTGAGGTAGGTTCTTCAGATGTGTTATGATCTCATAGCAGAGGACTCTCCGAAAAGTCACCACTGGGAATCTAGATCTTTGTTGGAAAGAGGAGAGAGAGAAGCCTCATGAACACATTGAAGCACTTAACCAAAAAGAAGAGACAACTTCTGGATGAAACTAATGCAATTACCTTAGCATCCACAAAGAAAGAAGTAAAAGGATCAGAGAATATCCTTGGTGCATTAGGTTCTCCTCCAGTGACAGGAAGAGAAAGAGTTTTAAGAATACATTGAAGACAAGAAATTGACCTGAGCACATTTTGAGAGCAAAATGTGTAACACAGTTTAGTGAAAGCTTATGGGAGAGGCTGGATTGACAGTCCTGCAGACTGACCTCTGTTCATTTACAGAACAGATCTAAAAAATTAATCCAAGAACCTGACCAACACCTGGAAAATGTAGGACAAATTTTGCAGAATGGTTACCTAGTACTGGATTGTGTGCCAAAGGCAAGAGAAGCAGATAGTGGCATTTGTCAATGACTTACATTATTGCCAGGGTCCACCTGACCCTTCCATAACCTCAACGCCTGCAAGACAAAATCATTCTTCAACAGGGTAATCGAATTCAAAATGCATGAGCTAATTATCAGGTTTGTATATAGGTGTACACATTAGTCAACCTATCACAAGGCCATGTGATGAACCAGAAGCACTCGTGAAGTTTCTAAACACAGAATACTTTTCTTTGTACAGCATGATATACACACTCAAGTTAGGCTGTCTCTAATAAATCTAAGATCTTGACACTAAAAATCATCCTTTTATGAGGTGTAGAAGTCAGTGACCTGGGTGACGTTTTTACTAGCACTGGTGTATGTCAAAGATGTAAGTGCATTTGTGGTTTAAATTTGCAAGATGCAAAAATGCCAAGAAAATCTAACTTGGGTTTGTTTTGATTGTTTAAATTGGGCAAAACACTGCAAATTTTCATCTTCCAGAGGCTAGGATTTTTATAATCTCATATAATGACAAGACTTTAGCGCTAAATAAATCTTAGCCTAAACAACAACTTCTCCTCTCACATATGGAGCCATGCTCGTTAAGATGTTGGCCAGATTAGAACTGCTGGTGAAACACATTTAGCATCCTTATCAGTGTTCTAGATTAGACAACAAATTACCTTTTTGGATATTCCCTATAAACCATATTAAAAAAACAACAAAAAAAAGTTTATTTGAGAGAGAGTGAGTGCATGCAGGGGAGGGGCTGAGGGGGAGAGAGAATCCCAAGCAGGCCCCACACTGCACACTGTCGGTGCAGAGCCTAAAGTGGGCTCAATCTCAAACCATGAGATCATGACCTGAGCCAAAAATAAGAGTGAGACGCTTAACTGACTGAACCGACCAGGCAGCCCAACCATACTCTGGTGAGTATTCAAGTTTTGTTCCTAAGGTTTAATTTTCAGATGTTTGGATGTTTAGTTTATGTATTTGAAGTACAGTAAGTCAAATCTTTATATTAAAAAAATACTTTTTTTTAATACAAAAGCATTCTAGCATGAGGAGAAGTGGCTAGGGCTATTTGCATACTGACTGTCCCTATGTCATTTCCTCCTTTTAAGTGTGCCATTGCGTAGGAAATTCAAAACCAAGGGACAGGCATTGCTGCGGATGTGCCTGCAGAGCAAAGGGCTTGAACATTTGAGGAAAGCAGAACATTCTCCCTGGTATTTGCATTATTGTAGACACACCAGCAGCCATGCAGGAGAGGGGGGAGACCCACACTTACCTAACTTGTCTCTTTTATGGAAGAAAAATGTGGCCAAACAGAGGGACGCAGCTCACGTCTACTGTGGGAAAAAATTGGGCTTACGTAGAGTTAAGGTCCAAGCAGGCTCAAAAGCAAATGTCACTTTGCCAAACTAGAAATCGCCCAGCCGGTTTCCTTCCTTCAGTCAGGCATTTAAGAAATTCTGTCAGAATTAAATTTACTATTTGTGTTTACTATGTCGCTTTTTTACCCATTCTGTTTTGCATTAGAAAAAGTGTGCTGTTTCTTAGGTGTCTCATGGATTTAATGTTAACATTTATTGTCATGGTATTTTGACAGTATTACAGAAGAATATTTCCCTTTAAAATAAAAATTTTTCTTACGCATAAGTATTCTAAAAGGTCAGTTTTGTTTGTCTTTAAATCTTATTTAATTGATTTGGCTTTTATATCACAAGAAAAAATGTATTTAGCTTTTATGAACAGTTTTGTCAAAAATGTTATTTTGCCTGCACACAATTAAGAGGTTTTGTTCTGTTCAAACTGTTGACCTTTTAGAAAATACTAAGCAAAACATTTAAGCTTGCACTAAGAAGTATTTCCATATTATGGGCTTCTGAAAAATTTATTTTTCATGCAGTGCATCTGACCTCTACTTTGAAGCAAATGTATTTACCAGAAATCACACTTCTATAGAAACAAGGTAAAATGTAGCTGGGTGAAGGCACTCTTTCTGGGAACATAAATTTGGTCAACCACAGAAACGAAAATGTAAACAAAGCAGTCATACTTGCATTTTTAAAATAAGGATTTCAATATCCATAGTGTTGAGAACCATATTTAATGCTTGGAAGAGACAAATTCAAATTAATAAAAATATTAAATAGAAGACAACATATCTCTGCAGTATCAATGCTTGACTGAAAAAAAAAAAAGATTTAAATGTGAAAACATCACTTCCTTTATTTTGGGCCCCCAAAGTCAAATGATTAGAACTATATTCAACCTAATCACAGATATTTACTATATTCAATGCAATAATTCACCAACAAAAAAACCCCACTGCAATATTATACAACTTTTCTGTGTCTTAACATCATTTCCCCATAGCTATTGAAAGCTCCAATCTCTGTTTCAAACACAACCCACATGACAGCCAATAAATTAATAGTTTTGCTTCTTTGGAAAAGTACTATTGTGGCATTTGCTCCTTTTAGCAGATAGCACAAGGGAAAAAAGGAAAAATACACATCAGACCCATAGTTGAGTTTTTGACAATACTAAGGAACAAAAACCCAGTTGTTTAAAATAAGCTATTGCAGTGGCCTTGAGATGCTGCCATCTCTCTGCGTTAGGAGGCAGACTGATCCTGTTTCCTCACCTCTACTGGTTTTCCGTTCTAGTAGAGAAAGATCCATGTAACCTGTCAGACTAGGTGCCTTGGACCCTTCTCAGTCCTCCCTAGTCTCTTCCCTGTGACTTTGGCAGAAATATCCAGTTCACAATGGTAAGCTGCCCGCTTCTGATGAGTAGGGGTTGCATAATCAAAATACTTCCTACCACAGCACTCCGTAGTCTAGATAAAATTTGTCTTCATTTCTCAACAAGGATACTCCTTGAGATAACAGCTATTTTGGTAAGTGAAAAGAACTCCTGCTTAGACCACAACTTCCTGAACATCTCAGGATTTCCTCTCTCAGTATTTGGCAGTTCTTAAGAAACTGATGTATATTGAGGAAAGCTGAAGATTTCAGTGATGCTGGATAAGGGAAAGATTCAAAAAACTGAAGGTACCATCTAGCTCTGCAATTCTGTGGTTCTGCATTAGGAACGGAGATGAGAAAAGGAAAGTACCTCTACATTTATCAGTGCAACAAGATCCTCTGGGGGAGAATCAGACATTCTTAACAGTAGCTGAGGAACAAGACTAACACGCACATGAACATAAACTTGGGAGAATATTAAATTGATTCCCTATCCAGGTTGTGTAATGGTGACCTACATCTAGATCTACAGATTGTCACTGTTAAGAAAACAAAAACTGAGCTTGTTAGGCAAGAACAAAGGGACTAAAAACATACTTTGTTTTTCTGGGTGTTCCCATGTCAGGAAATCATTTTTTCTTTGGCTCTGTGAGCAACATTTTATTCAAACTTAGAGACAACAGTTTCTCAGTTCTGGGGTTAATGGAAATAGAATTGACATTTCTTTGCATACATGGAATTTTGAGGAGATGAATATAATCAAGGGGCAAGAAGCTTAAAAGATAACTAAATCCAAAGTTTCAACATACCCAAGCTACTTTTACAACTTATATACTCCACAGAGGAGAGGAAAATCCTTGGGGCTCCACAAGATGGGGAATTGTGGGGTCTAGACTGAGTTGACAATTTTTACCTTGACATAAAGACTGCAAAGCAGTGGGTAACTTCTGAGGTTCATCAATGACCGTACACAATTAGAAGTGAAATACTTTTAAGAAATAGCCTTATTTCTTTATAAAATGTAGACTGAGAAGCTCAAATTTAGAAAGGTACTCTTGGTTAACTGGGTTTGATTATGGATAGCTTATAGAAGTTTCAGGTGATTGTTAGGTGAATGCTTTTCCATTAATCTGCTTTAAAATTGGTAGGATTAATCAACTGTAGTGTTTCTGTATTTTGACTGAAAATACAGAAATCATGACCAAATGATTTGAACCTTTCTCATCTGAGTTTATTAACAAATATTCCCAGTGCTAGTAGCCAATTACTGATCATTTAAATACCCTCTGACTGCAAAATACTTTAACATATATTGGATCTAGTGACATCATGAAAATCTCTTTCTCCTCAAAATCAGTTTGGTAAGTTTTCATCTGGTTAAAAGGTCAGCACTTTAAGAATTAGGAATTCAAGAGAGGATTCAGCGCATCTCAGCCATAGCTCGTACAGAAAGATGCTCTCATCTGGGCACCACAGGGGTGCTCACATGAATGACTAAAGTTCACAAGGGATTAATTTTTCTTCCTTTTGATTTATGTTATTTCACACATCCTGAATTTTAGGCTTTAGGCTTTACACATCTTTCCGTTTCTTAGCGTGGCTCACTTAATCTGAGCTTTTGAACCTCAGATGAACCCAGACCGAGGTTTCAAGTTTGTAATGAAACCTAACACAAAGCAAGCTTCCCCTGGCTTTGGTGGTCACTGTTGAAGTTTCATAACTTCAGGGCGCAGGAAAGCGTGTGCCTGGCACATTTCAGCAATTTGACTTTTTGTTTTTAAAGGCAAGTCTGCTACGTGCACAAGAATGGACATCTTGGGCACAGCTGTTCTATAGATGCAAAAGCAGAAATCATCAAGAAGCCCTTCTCAGGCCACTTTCCAGATTCTAATTTTCCTTCTGCACTTTAGTCCTTAGTTTAGCAAGTTCTTCTTCTAAACTTTTAATATGTTCCTTCAGGGTGGCCTTGTCTTCCTGGGCTTTCTGACTGGCTTGGCTTCGCGCTTCTTCAATCTTCCTCTCATACCACTTTTCCATCTGGGTAGAAACAGCCTCAAAAAAATACTGGGTAATCTCCAGAGCCTGGGAGGTGTCTCGAACGTGAGAGGCAGTCTGCTCACTGCCCGCTGCCGGGGGCGGCTGCCCACCGGCGGTGCCGGGTGCCAGGTGCTGGGCCCGATGCCTCGTCTGCCCACTTTTCCCAGACTTCTTGGTTTGGGTGCCTCTGTCAACACAGGGCCCAGCCTGCTGATCACACTTGGCCGCCTCTTTCAAGGGTAGCAAGGTTGTCTGGACCTTGACATTCCTCAGTCGGGACGCGGTACAGTCTGAGGAAGACAGCTCCTGCTGTAGTCTGTGGGTAGCAGTGGAGTTGAAGGCCTTTTCCTTGGGCCTAACCACCTGAGGAGAACTGTCAGAAGCCGCTACCGGACCTGCAGTGGCCACGGACTGATCCACGCCTAGTTGCAGAAGGAAAACACAACTCAGAGTAAATCCACGTTCACACAGTCATGTGGCTATGGGCTGGCGTTTGAGAGTCCTGATAATCCCGTAAACCATCAGGCCTTCTCAATCGCCAACCACCATGTGCAGCTTCTGCTCTGCCCTTCCCTTCCACTTGCCCCTGGTTATCATTTTGGCTTGTCAGGGCTTTCATGGGTAATGATGTTAACCACACTGGTGGCATCTAAGCCAAAAGCAGCTGCTGGCCTTTCCTTTAGCCAGTTTCATTAAAAGGCTCTGGGTACCATTTTGTGATTGCTAAGGATGACAGCTCACCAAGTGTCTCCCAAACAGAACTGGGCATGTACTGAGGGAAATAAATATACCCATTCCCTGGGGCGCCTGGGTGGCTCAGTCGGTTGAGCAACCGACTTCAGCTCAGGTCATGATTTCACAGTCTGAGTTTGAGCCCTGAGTCGGGCTCTGTACTGACAGCTCGGAGCCTGGAGCTGCTTCAGATTCTGTGTCTCCATCTCTCTCTGCCCCTCCCCTGCTCATGCTCTGTCTCTGTCTCAAAAATAAACAAAAACATAGGGGCGCCTGGGTGGCGCAGTCGGTTAAGCGTCCGACTTCAGCCAGGTCACGATCTCGCAGTCCGTGAGTTCGAGCCCCGCGTCAGGCTCTGGGCTGATGGCTCAGAGCCTGGAGCCTGTTTCTGATTCTGTGTCTCCCTCTCTCTCTGCCCCTCCCCCGTTCATGCTCTGTCTCTCTGTCCCCCAAAAAATAAATAAAGGTTGAAAAAAAAAATTAAAAAAATAAATAAACAAAAACATTAAAATCACACACACACACACACACACACACACACACACACACCCATTCCCTAATTTCTGGGCCTTTTCCACACCATAGGCCCAGTTAGTAGTTGCTTGACCCAAGCTCCAATTTGGAGAGGTGGTCATATTCTCCATACCCAGAGCTCCAGCCAAGCTCCATAACTAGACCGATCATGAAAAATTTGCCCAGGATTTCTCCAATGTTACCACAGTTCCAGAAATGGTCTATGGTAACAGAACACACTTGACATGAAAATCCCCCATGGAGGCCCTAATTACAAAGGCTCTGATTATCCTCAAAATTATCATCATGGAGTATAATCACTGTGGCTAATGAATAGATGCTTTGTCTGAAACGTCATGTTATCTAGCACCTGGGGCAGCTTTAATACACAAACTGCTGTTTAAGGAAGTTTTCCACAGTTGGACAAAGGCAAAAGGCTGATCAAAGAGAAGAAAGGAGAAGGAAGAACAAGGGCCAGAGCAAGAGACCTGCTGAGAAGACCAGTGTCCATTCATCAATCTTCATCTTTGGGGCCCACTCTGACACCATCAACATCGTACCTCAAACACTGCTGTCACCAGTCAACAATCCTTTTACTCTATGTTCTTTTACTCAAATATTCTTGAGCACTTAACTAGGAGTGCTTTATCACCATATAGAAACTGAATACACAGCAGTAAGCAAAATATGTCCTTGCCCCTACAGAATTTACAATCCAGTGTTTTCCACAGACCTATCCTAGGTCCACAGGATACAGCAAAGAACAATATCTGGGGGTTTTACCACCTTTGAATGGAATGGCTCTCTCTGCACATGCGTTACCTGTAGACGACTCGCAAGTAGATGGTGCGGATTTGGTCCTAGAGGCCCTAGAATCTCCAGAAAGTTTCAGCTCCAGATTCTGAATCTTTAACATGCACCAGGTTTTTAATTCGTCAACCAATGACATCTAAAAAGAAAAACAAACGAATGACAGCAAAAAAAAAAAAAAAAAAACACCAAAAAACAAACAAACAAACAAAAAAAAACAACACACACCAGATGAATTGGATCCATGGTTATGAAGCAAACCACCAAGAGTGGGTTTTTCAATTATGATAGTTCGAGATACCATCTTGACCAGCCTAAACATTGTGAACTACCTCCCCCTCCCTTCCCACAGGCCACACAGCCTTCTCTGCTTGCCCTCTGTAGACCAGGATGCACATAGCACCAATGGTGTTAGTTTCTATAATCTTCACTGAGGGACTCAGAGGTACCTTGAACACCCAAAGCTTCCCAAATCTTACAAATCAAGAATGTCTGGCCGCTTAGGAGCATAAATTCTCACACACTCAAAAAATACTCATTTTATGACTATTGTCTTGGGTAGACCACAAACTCCAAGTGCAGGAACCAAATCTTGTTCAACTACAGAGCAATACCGAGCAAATGTGCAATACATAGAAATGATTCAAGGCAGAGACCACATTTTCCCGGTGTGTTCCATTAACTGTTCTGTCTCCACCTATTACCAGAATATTCAGCAACAAATGAACTGAATTACATGCTCTTTCCTATTAACTTCATTTCAGAGTTAGAAAAGAAGGACACACTACGTAATAAGAATGCTATTAGGGGTTCTTGGCCTCTGGGTTTTCAATGATGGGTCTGAGTCTTAACTCAGTGGAGATGTGTGGTAAATCCCCAGTTAAGGGCAGATCCTGGCTCTCACCTGTCGTCTCTCCCCCTCATGCTTCTCTGTATCTGAATGCTGTTGCAGGCGGTTCAGGCACTCTGTTCTCTCTGCTGACAGCCGCTCAACCATCAGCTTGTCCAGAACACGCAGCTAGGATTCAATGAGCAAAAAGCAGAGGATGGAGATGATCTAAGAATGGGCCCTGGTCTCTTGACCTCTGGGGCTCTGGGGGACCAGCAGGGACCAGTGAAAACAGAGGCAAACCTCAACTTCTTTTATTCTAGTTTCATCCAGTATGCATCCAACTCCTGGCTTTTCACAATCCCTGAGCATGTTTTTGTATAAGCCAAAGCCTCTTTCTTATTGTTTACCTCCTAAGGGGTTGAAAAGACTGAACATGGTAAATATACAACTTGAGCCAATGCAGACCTTGTGCATAGAAGGATTTTTGTAGGTCTTACAACATTATTTCCAAGACTATTATTGAAAGGAAAACTATTTCTAGAAGTATGGAGCTGTTCATTATTTTCATTACCCTTTTCTTTTTTTTTTTTTTTTTTTTTTTTTTTTTTCCATTTTTTTTTTTTTTTTAGAGAGAGAGACAGAGCATGAATGGGGGAGGGGCAGAGAGAGAGGGAGACACAGAATCGGAAACAGGCTCCAGGCTCTGAGCCATCAGCCCAGAGCCTGACGCGGGGCTCGAACTCACGGACCGCGAGATCGTGACCTGGCTGAAGTCGGACGCTTAACCGACTGCGCCACCCAGGCGCCCCTCATTACCCTTTTCAATTAATTTTTAACACCCCTCCAAGCCCTTAAAATGTTAGTAGCTGCCCATGAGATAGCAAAAGCAGAATGCTCAGGGCTTTTACCCAGTGTTCCTAGTGAATACATCCCCTCAGTGCTTCACTGAAAGTAATCAAAGCAAGTGTGAAGAAGGGTGAGGAAGGAGTACAAGGGGAGTGCTCCAGAGAATCAATGATGGTCACTTTTCAGTCACGCCCTCCTGGATCCCCCCCCCCCCTTTATCTTGATACTTCCCGTTAGGACCCTACACCCAGGAAAGCCAAACTTTCACTGCTTTGACAAGGTCCATACCAGGGAGAGAGACTTTGTCAGCAGGGGCCAGCTCACAAGGGTTGTTCCACAATCAGATGTTCAAAACACAAACACAAAGAAGGGCCAGTTCTGGAGATGTGAGGAGGGCTCACAGGTGAGCTCTTCTCCTGTCAGGGACACACATGATGTTCAAAAATCAAAAAAGCAGCAGCAGTTCTGGAGATGTGGTGAGCACCTTCTGTTTTGTTTCTTCGGCCCTCGTGTTTTTTCTGTGAGCTGCTCTCCCGCTTTCTAGGATTGGCCTACTCCACCCACGTCCTTATCCTCTGTCAAGAGCAACTGTGTTGACATACAGCTTTGTTCTGGGGCACGGCTGATTGCTTCAGGCATGGACACCAGACTCATGCCGCACCAGAGCCCATGCCAGAGTCCTTCACCTAGAACTGGGAATTAGGACTAAGGTTTTACACACCCATCTGTCACCCTCCTTGAACTGAAGCAAGGTCCTTGAGATGGTTGGTCCAGCACTCATCTAATACACTCCTCCCTGGGCTTAGGCCAGCTGAAGTGGGTTTTATTTACAAAACAGTCTTAACTAATATACGATGGCACTAGGAAAAGAGTTCTTAAATGTGCTTTCCATGAAGGGCAAATAGCAAATAAACCTAAAACATTCTACCTCACCAACAAACAAGGAAATAAAAATTAAACAATATACTTAATCGATTTGGCATAAACTTTAAAAATAATATTAGTGATGGCAAAGGTTTGAGACAGAGACTCGATTTATATCCTATCCTACCCGTAGGATATAAATTCATACAACCTTTCTATTTAGTAGATTACTAATATTTATGAAGAGATTTAAACATCTTAACTATGGACCCAATTATCCTAAAAAGGAGCAAATAACTTGAGAAGCAAATGTTTATACACATAAGTGTTCATCATAGCATTATTTATAAGAGTAAGAACTATAAGCAACTTTAAAGTCTAACAAAAAGGAAGACATGGAAAAATGCTTGGGATATCAAATTAAGTGAAAAAATCTGGAAGTAAAAATACGTGTAATTTAGGGAGGTGGGTGTGGCGATGGGTGAAATAGGTGAGGGGGGTTAAAGAATGAACTTGTGATGAGCACTGGGTGATGTATGGAACTGTTGAATCACTATATCGTACACCTGAAATATAACACTGTATGTTAACTATACTGGAGGTAAAAATAAATAAATAAGTAAATAAACCACATACTAGACAAAAAACAAATTATATGTGTAACTCCATACCCAGAACAGTACATCGCCATTAAACAGCATATTGAAATAACACACCTAAGACATATTACTTAATTTCAATGTAAGCTACAAAGATGACCAAGGCTCTTTGCGTCCAAGATAGCTAGGTAGGAAGACTCGCTAATCCTCTCCTCCACAGACACACCAAATCTATACCAATTTAAAGGAGAGTTAATACCTAGTCTTTCCAAACTGTTCCAAAAAACGGAAGATGATGGAAACCTTTCACATACATTCTATATGGCCAGCATTATCTTGATACCAAAACCAGATAAAGATGCCCCCAAAAAAGAAAATTACAGGTCAATATCTCTTATGAACATAGATACAAAAAAACCTCAACAAAATATTAGCAAACTTCAACAATACTTCAAAATGATCAATCACCACAATCAAGTGGGATTTATTCTGGGGATGAAAGGATGGTTCAATATCCACAAGTCAATATGATACACCACATTAACAAAATGAATAAAAATTCTATAATCATCTCATTAGATGCAGAAAAAGCATTTGACAAAGTGCAACATCTGTTCATGATAAAAACTCTCAAAAGAGTGGGTTTAAAGGGAACACACCTCAAAATAATAAAAGCCATATATGACAAACTGACAGCTTACATCATACTCAATGGTAAAAACAAACAAACAAAACAAAACAAAAAAAACACCTGAGCTTTTTTCCTAAAATCAGGAACAAGAAAAGGATGTCTACTCTCACCAGTTTTATCCAACATAGTACTAGAAGTTTTAGCCACAGCAATCAGACAAATAAAAGGTATCCAAATTGGTAAGGAAGAAGTAAAACTGTCACTGTTTGCAGTTGACAGGCTACTATACATAGGAAGCCCTAAAGCCTCTACCACAAACCTATTAGAATACATGAATTCAGTAAAGTTGCAGGATACAAAATTAATATACAGAAATCTGTTGCATTTCTATATACCAATAATGAAGTAGCAGAAAGAGAAATTAAGAAAACCATTCCATTTACACTTGCACCAAAAAGAATAAAATACCTAGGAATAAACTTAACCCAGAAGGTAAAAGACCTATACTCTGAAAATATAAAGCACTGATGAAAGAATTAAAGACAACACAAGTGGAAAGATACTCCATGCTCATGGATTAGAAACTCAATATTTTAAAATGTCCACACTATCCAAAGCAATCTACAGATTCAATGCAATCCCTATCAAAATACCAACAGCATTTTTCACAGAACTAGAATAATCCTAAAATTTGTATGGAACTACAGAAGACCCCACATAGCTAAAGCAATCTTGAGAAAGAAGACAAGGCTGGCAGTTTCACAATCCAAGATTTAAAAATATACTACAGAGCTATAATAAAATATGGCACTGGCACAAAAACAGACACATAGATCAATAAACAGAGAGCCAAGAAATAAACCCACACTTATATGGTCAATCTACAACACAAGAGGCAGAAATATATGGGAGGAAAAAGATAGTTGCTTTAAAAAAAATTTTTTTTAGGGGTGCCTGGGTGGCTCAGTGGATTGAGCATCCGACTTCAGCTCAGGTCATGATCTCGCAGTTTGTGAGTTCGAGCCCCGCATCGGGCTCTGTGCTGACAGCTTGGAGCCTGGAGCCTGCTTAGGATTCTGTGTCTCCCTCTCTCTCTGCCCCTTGCTGCTCACACACTCTCTCTCTCTCTCAAAAACAAACATTAAAAAAATGTTTTTAATTAAAATTTAAAAAATCTTTAATATTTGTTCATTTTTAATATTTATTTTTGAGACAGAGTGAGAGCACGTGTGCGCGCAAGCAGAGGAGAGACAGAGAGAGGGAGACACAGAATCCGAAGTAGGCCCCAGGCTCTGAGCTGTCAGCAAAGAACCTGATGTGGGTCTCAAACCCACAAACCTCAAGATCATGACCTGAGCCCAAATCAGACCCCAACCAACTAAGCCACCCAGGTGCCCCCAACACAGTCTCTTTAATTAACGGTGCAGGGAAAACTACACAGTTACATGCAAAAGAAAAACCGCACCACTTTCTTATACGCAAAAATGAGTTTAAATGGATTAAAGACCTAAATGTGAGACCTGAACTCAAAAAACATCTAGGCGAAAATACAGGCAGTAATCTCTTTGACATCAGCCTGAGCAACATTTTTCTAGATAGGTCTCCTCAGGCAAAGGAACAAAAGCAAAAATAACTTTACCGGGATTACACCAAAATATAAAGCTTTTGCACATGAAGGAAATCATCAACGAAATGAAAAGGCAACCTACTGAATGGGAGAAGATATTTGCAAGTGATATATACAATAAGGGGTTTATAACCAAAATCTATAAAGAACTTATACAACTCTACCCTCGACAATTTGATTTAAAAAAAGGCAGGGGACCTGAATAGACATTTTTCCAAAGACAACATACAGATGGCAGACAGCATATGAAAGATGCTCAACAACACTAATAAGGGAAATGCAAATCAAAACCTGAGATATCACCTCACACCAGTCAGAACAGCCAGTATCAAAAAGAAGTAAGTGTTGGCAAGGATGTGGAGAAAAAGGAACCCTCGTGCACTGTTGGTGGGAATGTAAATTGATAAAAAATCACTGTGGAAAACAATATGGAGGTTCCTCAAAAATTAAAAATAGAACTACCATTTTTGATCCAATAATTCCACTACTGGGTATTTACCTGAAGAAAACAAAAACACTAACTCGGAAAAACAGATGCATTCCTATTCTTATTATAGTACTATTTACAGTAGCCAAGATATAGGAGCAACCCAAGTGTCCATTGATAAGATGGGCGGACAAGATATAGTGTGTGTGTCCACACACACACACACACACACACACACACACACACACACACACACAATGAAGTATTACTCAGCCATAAAAAAGAATACCTTGCAGGGCACCTTGGGTGGTTCAGTTGGTTAAACGTCAGACTCTTGGTTTCAGCTCAGGTCATCATCTCATGGTTCATGAGTTCAAGGCCCACCCTGGGCTCCACACTGACAGTGCAGAGTTTGCTTGGGATTCTCTCTCCCACTCTCTCTCTGCCCCTACCCTACTCATGCTCTCTCTCAAAATAAATAAACTTTAAAATAAAATAAAATGGTAAATCTTAAAAAAATATATATATATTGCCATTTGTGACAGCATGGACGGACCCAGAGGGCATTTTCCTAAGTGAAATAAGGCAGACAGAGAGACAAATACCATAGAATTTCACTTATATGGAATCTAAAAAACAAATGAACAAAAAAAGCAGAAACAAGGTATGAACTCCTCTGGTAGTTGCCAGAGAAGGGGTGGGGGGATGAGCAAAGTGGGTGAAGGGAAGTGAGAGGTACAGGTCTCCAGTTACGGAATGAAGAAGTCACGGGGTGAAAGGTAACAGACGGTAACCACACTTGGTGGTGAGCACGGCAGAACATGTGGACTTGTGCAATCATTATGTTGTACACCTGAAACTAATGTAGTGTAACCTGTGTCAACTTTACTTCAATTAAAAAGCTGAGGAAGATTGGCGCCTAGGTGGCTCAGTGGGTTAAGTGTCCAACTTCAGCAGAGGTCATGATCTCACCGTCTGTGAGTTCGAGCCCCGCGTCGGGCTCTGTGCTGACAGCTCAGAGCCTGGAGCCTGCTTCAGATTCTGTGTCTCCCTCCCTCTCTGCCCTTCCCCCACTCGTGCTCTGTGTCTCTCTCAAAAATAAACATTAAAAAAAAAAGCTGAAGAAGAAGAAAAAACACAGCATAGTTCCATTTTTGTTTTAAAGTGGTAACTATATAAGTACTATCTATAAAAGAGAAAATCTATGGGAAAATACACAAAACCAGGAATGGAAGGTATCTCTGGAATGTATCGCTATATTTCATATTTCTGTAATGTGGATTTTTTCCTATTAATAGGCTAGCTTATACATTTTTTAAAGTGTCTTTTGTACTTAAAAATCTATATCCACCATACATTTCTGATTACAAAGAGAAAATATATTCTTTGATGGAGAGAGATGGTGGTTACTCACTTAGCCAAGTAATCAAACTTATCATTAATAAGGAGACATCCTGGCATTATGTGCCTCCTGATGTGACATAGTTTGAAGTTTACGCCATTAACTATGACATTTTCTTGCCAAAAATACTTAATCTGAACCGAAAAAAGCATCTAGACACTAGTGGTTCTCAAACTTGGAGGTCTTGTTCAAACACAGGTGGCTAGACCCCATCCCCAGAGGTTTATTCACAATTAAGTTCAGTAGATCTGGAATGAGGCCCAAGAATTGTCATTTTTGCCCCCACAGCTCCCAGATAATGCTGATGCTACTGGTCCAGGGATGACACCTTTGAGACCCACTGCTCTAGACCTAACTTTCAGTTCACAGAGATACAGAGACAGAACAAGTTAAATAATACCATGAAGAGCCTATCAGACATGTCTAGAATGTTGAACATCCTATATAACAACTGGCCTAGACTTTTTAAAAAGATAATATCCTAGGAATAAAGAAAAAGATGGAAGAAGAAATCAGCCTGTTGTAGATGAAAAGAAACCAGAGAGACATAACCCAGATGCACAAAAAAATCACTGGATTCTGAGCTGGAATTTAAAACAAAAACAAGCTATAAGAAAACATTTTGGAAGAACGGAATAAATCGCAATACGGACTGGATATGATGCAATCATTGTTAATTTTCTCGTACATGATAACGGATTGTGCTACAAAGGAGAAAGTCCTTATTCTTCGTCAAGATGCGCTCTGAAGTATTTAGAGGTGAGAAGTCAGGACAGGCTCCAACTAAATCTCAAAGGATTCAAGAGAAAGACAGGTGCATGTGAGAGACACAAAACAAATGTGGCAACATATTAACAAATGGTTGAGTCTAGGTGGAGAGTAGACATGCTTTCATTGCACTGTTTCACTGTTTCTCTTCTTTGAAAAATTTCAAAATAAAGACACCTATAGACAGGATTGTTCTGATTGTGTGTGCAGTGGGAAAGGAGCCAGGATACAAACATAAAGAGACTGGAAGAGAATAAACCCAAATGTTAGTAGTGATTTCTCACTGTGGTGGGCTTGTAGGGGATTTCTTTTCCTTTCTAAATTTCATATTTAAAGAAAATGCTCTGTAATAGGTATATATCATTTTTATAATCAGAAGCAATTTAAGCAGGTTCTTAAAAACTTTGAATAAATGCGCTTGGAAGAAATCACATAAGCCTCTTCCCTGAGAGTCCACCCGAGGTACTCAGCTCAGTCTGCAAAATACAAAGGGTGCTCAGTGTGGGCAGCTTCTGATTTCATTTCCTGCCAGAACATCTGGCCATGGGGGGTTGTGGGGGCGGGGGGGCAACTCACTGACCTGGTGCTGGGTTTTGTTCTCCATATGCCCCAGCTTTGTGTTCATTTTATCCTGAACCGAACCCAGCTCTGCTCGGATCTCCTCCACAGCTGCCTCCAACTGGTTCTCCAGCTTGTTGATTAGGGGTTCACATCTACAACCATTTATTGGTGCCTAACAGGGGAACAATAAAGGAATCAATCCACTCATTCCCTCCTTCAACAAACTGGTTTTGAGTGCCCATCCAGTGCCAGTCAGTATGCCAGGGGGATACAGATGATGGAGGAGGCATAACTTTGGGATGTCCAATGGGCCAAGCTGTGGGTCCAATAGGCACTGAGAAGCTTCAGAGAGGGTAAGACACGGTCCCAATCCTTGTGGCTTTTATCTACTCTGGAGCCTCAAGATTACCTAGTCACTTAAGGATGGTGCACAAAGGTTTGTAACTACCCGTTTGCCTGGGCCTCAGCAGCAGCGGTGTATCTGCAGTGTAGGGAGGGACATCTGGTTTATCTTCAAAGCTCATTGCCTTCCCAAGTCAACACTGCAAGCGGATATTAGCCCCCAGGAATAGTGTTAAACAGACAGCCTTGCTTAAGGCCTACGGTCCTATGACCAGACAGGGCTCATGAAGTACCTGCATCACCTTCCCGTCCTTGCCCCGGTACAGCGTGTAGAGCTGGTACGCTCTGAACTCATGGGGAGGGGGTGGCGGTGAACATCGGTGCCTGGGCCTCTTTTTAGGGTGACTGTGAGCATGCAAGTTCTTCTGGTGTCCAGGCTGTTGGTCTGCTGGTGGAGTGGGGTCAGAAAATGCTGACGCCTGTGGGAGAGGAATCAACAATACCCCTGAGCACTGTGACATCTGCAAGACTGGCCCCCATCCAACGGCTCCCATCTCACCCTCGTCTTCCTTTGTCTCACGGCACTCCACTGTAAGCACCGCATGTCCAAAGAAATAGATCAACACATTAACCTTGTGTTTGAAGTTACCCAGATTTAATTTTCGTGCTCTGGCTCCAAACCAGCAAGCCAAGTCCAGTGGCATTTTAGCTACTGGGCATGATGCGATCCCAGGGCCCTTGGCCAACCTGCCTCCCAGCCCTCCCTTGGCTGCCTTCACGTGCCTCCTGACCTTGGGCCTTGACTTTCTCTGCCTGTTGTCCTTCGCCTTGGGCTCTGGGGAGGCGGACAGGACATCTTCTCTGGCCTCTTCTTTTCTGGGTGCAGCCTGTTCACTGCTGGGGGTGTCTCCTGCGGAGACACTTCCCTACAGAGGGGGGGAAAAAGAAGTGCCCAGAAACCGGTTCTAATTGCCCCCTCTGCCTTCTTCTGTAATGGTCTAAAATTCTGTTTGCAAGATTGCATCCACTAAAGGACCCACAGGAACCTTAGCTGATGACAAAGAGGGAACACTGCTTGGTGGTCTAAACTGAACATGTAGGACTTTCCCAGTTGGTTGAATATTTTGCTTTTACTTCATTAGGTGCCAAGGTAAACAGAGTCTTGGGTCTAATTCTATATCTTAGAGCTTCCGGAAGCTACCACAAACAGCTCAGCATTAGAAATTTTTAAATTTTTTTTGCATTTCAACCACAGCAACAACAACCAAAAAAAAACCATTTATTCTTTGAACTTGGACTTCACAATTCATAATGGAGTAGGAGAACCCCCTGAAATGAAAACATCACATTTCTAGTCCTTATAAGAACTTTTACAAATCAATATGTACAATTCACCCACAGGAACTTAATCAGAGTTACAATGCCTTAACCCTGAAAACTGATAAGAGGATTTTGAAATAGAACAATAAGCACTCGGTATAAAATTTTGTGTGCCAAAAGTTGTCTTTATATCCTAGTCTTTTTCTTCCTGCGAGAGCTGAAAGGCATGGTTCGTTCCAGTTGTGCAAGCTGTTCACTGCACAAGGGCACCTAGCAGAGGGAGCTGAAATCCGGCTCTGGCTCTCTTCCCCTTATGCACCCTGAGCAGGGCTGGGCTGCCCAAGGGGCATCTTTTTCTAAATTTGCAACAGAGGAATCACATGGGCTAGTGCAGCCTCAATCCATTCCCCAAGCCGAAAGAGAAGAAGCGACCCAGGCCACTGGTTGTCAAACTTTAGTCCACACCAGAATCACCTGAAGGGCTTGTTCGAACAGATTGCTGGGCACCCTCCCAGAGTTTCTGATCCAGTGGGTCTGAGGTGAGGCCCCCAACTCTGTGTTTCTAAAAAGGTCCCAGATGGCACAGTGGACACTACATTTTGAAAATCACTGCCCTATACCATTAAGGGCCCAGCATTAGAGGCAGTGCTGTCCACACAGTAGTGATGAGGCCACAGACACATGGCACTAGAAACTATGCCCAGACAAGGATGCCGAGAAAGACTGGCAACACGGGTACACGATCTGAAATCCTGGAGGAGTGGAGGACAAGAAACCAAAGGGAAAACACGGACAACAGTTTGAAGAACCAGCGGAAAGGAGAGACAGAGGAGGGCACGGCCGCTGCCAGATGAACCCAGAAGGAACAGCCAGATTGTTTCCCACCCTCTGTAAGGGGGTGACGTTTGGGAGGGGCGGGAGAGCTACCCCCCACCTTGCTTTGTGCCACCTCATCTCTTGGCACAGACTGAGCTCTCCTCTCTTCCTTGAGCCTCTCTCTCTTTTTCCTCAGGCTTCGCCCGCGACTGAAGCGCAAGACCTGAAGGAGGCAAGAGGCATGGTTACAAACCACGGTGTGTGCAGCGTCGTGACAGCATTGTCCTTGGACCTGGTGCTCTGATCTAGTGGAACTTCCAGCCTAGGGAGAGACCAAGCAATCACATCAAACACGCATCTCTGCCTGCCTGCTGGGCACCGAGGTCTTGTGCCGGGCTCTGTAGGAGCCCAGAAGGAAGTAGGACATGGTCCCCGATCTCAAGGAGCTTATGGTCGAGGGCAACAATAGGCATCTGTGTGCCAGGCCACGGTCGCCATAGGGGGGTGTGCAGGCTGTGCACTGCTTAACTCCAGGGAACACCACTCACAGACGAGGATAGGAACGGCATCCCCTGGACTCGCACAACACAGCGGCCCCACGCCAGGCAGTGTCTGGCTATCTTGGTACGCTGGACCTGAACTAGCCCATCATATTTTCTCTTGACCAAACTGTATTCAAGTCAGTTTTTAGTTTGCTTCAAACACTGAGGTTCATCTGTGAACCATGGTACCAACCATGGGGCAGGAATCTGGTCCCCAAAAGGAAGCATTTGGCCTGCCCAAGAGGGCAGGAAGGCGGAACAGACACAGGCAAGTAGACATGGGGTCCGATAGCCCGATTTTGGAATTCAGCAGCAGCTAGCTGTAGGATCTTCCGGCAAGTTATTTGCCCTTTCTGTATTCTGTAAATACGGGGAGTTAATGGAATTAACCAAGACAAAGCAAGTGGCTGGCACACCCTGGACTTTCAGGCACTGTTAGGTGCCTCCCTCCTGCCTTGGCCCCTCGAGTTGCTTAATTGGCCAGAGGAAGTTTAACCAGAGTACAGAGCTTTGAGCTGGCAGAAGCTTTCAACCCTTGGCCTTTTACTTCCAGCCCCGAGTCACTCCCTTTCACCAAGGAGGTCCAGAAAGGGAAAACACTTCTTCAAGCTCTAATTTTTTTGCAATAAAACACTTTATGGTCTTCATCTGTAGATGGAGAAGGGTTCTCTGAAGTTCAGCATAGTGCTTTCATCTAAATGTTCAACTTTCTTGTGTTCATTAAATTCAAGTGACATCATATGACAAGAAGAACCTCTATGGACAGCGGTACAATCTAAATGGAGAATTCCTGACGACATCTGCCTGTGGCTAAACCAGATTTTTAAATTGTATTCTCATCCTCTAAGCCAACAGCTCTGAAAGTGTCCAGGGAACCCCGGGTGCACGAAACTGAAATTATTTTCATGACAGCGTAACAATGTCGGCTTTTTCCCTCTCACTGATTGTACAGCAGTATTTACCAGAAGCTGCACACAACACCCCAGTGGGTCACGTGCAGAAGTAGAGGGCAGCCCTCCGTCTTTCCACTAAGACCGTAAGGAGATTTGCAACAATGTAACATAATGCTACCTACTCTTCTCCTGTAAATTTGGTTTTGAAAAATAGTTATTGCTCATAAAGACAATGCTATTTGTTACAAAATGAACTTACCATCTTTAACATTTCTCAAATTTCAAACATGGACACTATTAATAGATATAATTCACACACAGCTCTTAATGGGCCTCTAGAACATTAGATGTCCCCAGATCAAAAGGTCTGAGAACCATTTCTGAAACTAAATTCAGACTCACTAGGAAGTCAAGTCTGATGAGAAGAAGTGACTAATGCCCATTGCTCATTCGGTTTATGGGCTCTTAGAACAGGATACAGCCCCAGCATCAATCCAAAATTCACTTTCAAAAGCATTTGTGAACATATCAATCTAAAATGAGAAGGGATACTCAGAGGTCACCCAAATCATCAGAGTAATTCCCTCCACAGACCAGGTTATTAGCCAGTGCAAATAACTTTGCATGGCGTACAGCCTTTCTCAGCGAACCATATCATCTACCAATGGAACGTCATCAATCTTTTCTAGTTCACCGAAATCGGGGAATATGGATCTTTAGAAAGATCTTAGTACTGCTGTGAGCCATTGAAATCCACGGTCCACTAAGGTGCCAAGGCAAAGGAATTTCCTGTTTCACACAAAGAGGAAAGCTAGTTCTGTAACTTGAGAACAAAAGAACAACATGTATACAATTTTATGCATATTCCAAAGTTCCTCGTTCATATTGAGAACAGGGTTTAGCATATACAATTGTGTAAAATACTTCCATAAGAGGTCATCCTATTTGCTATTCAAATGGGCATGGAAAAACTGAGGTCATTTTTTAAAATGGAAACAGTAAAGGAGAACCACATAGGAAAATGGTCCATGGGAAAGCCTCTCCCCTAAGAACACAGATCCTTGAGTTCTGGAGACAAAGGACAGGAGGATCAAAGGCCTAGAAGTCTGTACCTTGGGGGATACTACACCCCACAACATTTGATGATCTTCACATGGCTGAGGATACAGCTGGCTGTCCAAACTGCCAATACTGAAATGCCAGATAACAGAGATAAATTCTGACATTTATTATAGCATCCTGTACTTTTTGATCTGTAAGAGACCAGCCTTTTGCTATCAGGATTCATGGATGTGACTCCAGTAATGATTTGTTTGCAAATAGTTGGAAAGAGGTGGAAACTTTTTCCAAAGGACCACCTGACTCATGCCTGTCAGAGGCTCCAAGGATGTCCAGACGCTACTGAGAAGCACTAACTCCACAGGGAACAGGGTGACCAGTTTTTCAAAGACAAAAATCTTAACTACTTCCACAAACTGCTCGTTATATCAGGTAGGTTTTTAAAATTTAAATGACCCGAAGGCCATTCAGACCCTTCAGTTGACTGGGATCAGGCTCTGATGCAGCAGGCTGGTATCTGGAATCTTCCTCCGGCTCTCCAAGACTTTATGTTCTCACAACATTAGTCAGAATAAGGTAGAAAACAAATCAGTTTTCACTGTAATGTAATACAGAGCAGCTCCGATGGGGAAACAAACCATTTCCTTAATGTTGGACATTTAGGTTAACAAAATATTGGACAGCAACAACAACAAAAAAAGCATACTGGCTTCCATTATGATGAGTAATTTTGAGAACTACAGAACGTTTTTCTATTATAGTTAAGATAAAGGGCAGCATACAAAAGGGTAGGCACAATTGTAAAAATCATGCGTCTGAAAGGGAATATGAACAAAAACAGTTATTTCAGGGCACTAAAATGATGAATAGCTTATAAATTACTAACTCTGTTAGAGGATTTCAATCTCAGCTCAAATGATATCAATTTTTTAACTTAAATGCCTAAAATACCATTATTCAATAACAAAAGGAAAGAAAGCTATTTTATACTTAACTGCCTCTAATGGACATGTGAAACATTGTGAAAATATTAAAAGAATCTTGTAACTTTATTCTTTTCTCTCCTGCTGAAAAAAAATTAATCCAATCGTATGAAAAAAAAATTTTTTTTTTTTTGTTCACCCAGACCGGGATCCCTTCCTCCCACCTTTCTCTAGAAAAGGCTCCTCCCCTCTAACCATACAGTCAGATGGACGCAGCTATGTTCCTAAAGTGCCTGTCCTGCTCGTTCAGGCCGTTTGCCCCAAGCTCGCCAATCATGATCCTCTTCTGCGACCAGAACTTCTTCCCTGAGAACCTGGGGAGTTCTGGTCCACAAAGCTGGTAACGCCAATGATCCAGCCACGGGGAAGAAATGATGCCCGTGTATGAAGACAAGCCTACTGAACTTGAAGTTTCTTGTTCTGGTTCTCTTAGAAGCCCCAAATGGATTCCTGCCTTTTCCACTGCCTGGTTGTGAGCCCATCAGTTTCCTATTTAAGTTAGTTTGATTTGGCTTTAGTAGATGGCCAGAGAATCACAACAACTTTGCAGCCCCACATAATCAATAGAATGGAAAATGTAATCAATCCTACCTGGGGAGCTTTAGTGAGGAGAAGAGCAACCTCCGGATTATTGTGGTAGCGGGCAGTCTCCAGTGGAGTCTGGCCTGCCTAAGGAAAGGCAAAGTGGGGGACAAGTGAGTAAGAGAGACCAACCCTGCACCCTAGCCCAACTGGGACAGCAATTCTGTGCTCAGTCACACCAGCACCTACACGTGCCCAACAAAATACAATCGCATAGAAGACCTGGCCTCACTCTTGAGCCTCCTCCATTCGATGAGGGGGCCAAATCACACCTGAGGGCCCAACGATTAATAACAACAGAGGGTAAGTGCTCTAGGAAGCAAAGCTCTGGAATACCTGCCCACCAAGGAATGCTTCCTGGAAGAGAGAGGAGAGAATGTAAACATCAGACAGGGCCAAAGGGGAAGATTTAGTTGAAGAAACACAAAGGACCATAAAGTCCAGCCAAGCAATGAATTTTCCCTGGAGAAGTGGAGAAGGCACTTGGAAGGGCAGACTGGGGCACAGCCACACAGTTTCAGGACCTGGACTGTGAGAGACAATTAGGTAGCTATGGCCATAATGGAGGCTCTAGGGAGATGAAGCCAAAAAGTAGGGAGCTGGTAACAGTGGGATTCAAAAGAAGGGAAAGGCATCAGGGGACAGGCACAATGGTGCACCACCCAACACAGGTCGAAGAGGAGGAGGAAGGCGGGGACTCTCCATACAACTGTTCCACCCCCAGCCTTTCTCAGTCTGTTAGTCTGTGCTACTTCAGACCACAGGTCAGCCTTAAGGAAGAAAGGGTGCCTGAGCTGGTGCCTGCCATAGGACCTAGGAGAGAGAGGGAACAATGGTGGGGTGGGATATTAAGAAAAAGAAGGAAGGAATAAGGTGATTTTGGAGAAGGGAGTTCGAGTTTTGAGGATGATTAATCTGATGGTCATGTGGCCACTTTTCTGAGGACCCTGTCTGTTTACAGGGCAGGAACTCACTTTCAGTAACATCCACTTGTCAGTTTACTTAGACACCCCTGACCTTCCTTTTCCTGCCAGGATATGCTCACTTGAGCTAGGAGTCTAGAGATGAACCCTAAGGGCTCATCAACTCATGGAGCTGCTATGAGCAAGGGTTCCCTCAAGGCGGCCTCTGGGGTCCTCCTGTTAGCAGACCTCTAATCTCTTATAAAGTAAGGCTAAGGGAGGCTGTGTGCCCTGCAGGAGGTGAGGTAAGTAACAACACACTCCATTCTGGAAAGGGGTGGGAATGATTTCTAGAAACACTGTTGCAGCTTAACTTACATTATTAACAATGGTTCCATCTGCTCCAGCTTCCAGTAAGATTTTAACCACCTTCTTGTGATTTAGGGCAGCAGCAACATGAAGTGCTGTGTCTCCGGCCTGAAATTAAATCAGAAGAAAGGCAGCTAAACTCCATCTGATCATGGCTCACAGCCTTCCGGCTTTTCATCCCATGGCCTGGTAAGTAGCTTTTCAAATTAGGATTGGCCTTAGACTGATAGGGGACCCTTTGCTCAAGGGTTATGTGGTTCTCCTTAAAGAGATCGCTTTAAAATGACCTATGTACAAAGATCGCATTCCTTTCTGACTGAGGATACTAGAAATCACAGGGAAGGACAGGGGGGCAATCTGGGGTTGTTGAGAATGGGGACCTGAAGCTTTACACCAAGGTAGGATGACGGACAGATAGCCAGGGGCCAGCAGGCTAGCCATCACAGAGCTCTGTACCATATCCCTCTGCCCAGAGGGCCCCTTGATTTCTGAGCGCTAGAATGAGCAAAAGCTGTGGAAGTAGTTACTTCTACAAACACGGGGGGAGGATCCCAGGTGGGATCACATTCCCACCTGCTGGAATGTGAAGGGCCCACTAGGAATCACTTTGCAGGCTCAGGGTATTCTTCGTTTGGGTGGAGTCACTGAAAAAAATCAGTGTTCACTTAAGACCAGCTGTTTTCAACCTCTTACCAAATAGCCTATAATAAAGTTCATATTTTCTTTATATATCAGAAAAAGTTCAGACAATCAACCATGAAAGGAGGCTATAGACAAATGGAGCTTGATGGGCCAATTCCATATGTAAACGCTGGTGTTTCCCCAAGCAGAAGGCTATGAATAAACCAGGCCAATACAAATGTTAAATAATCCATCCTCTCCCATTGGGTGATCAAGTAAAGCTCCAGATAACTTGTTTTCCTGGGCAGCATGAAAACGCCACTATCCCATGGCCCTCCCCCACTGAAAGTAGCCAGGGAAACGTTCAGTTCGTTGCCAAGTCACTTAGTTGTGTGTACTGGGCAGTGGTTTCTAATCCTGGCTGCACGCTGGAATCAGTGGAGGAGCTTTACTAACTACTGATGCTGGGGTCCCGCCCCTGGCACGCATTTAATTGTTCTGAATTGTAGGTTGGGCGTGGTGATTTTTAAAGCTCCCAGGTGTCTGAAACATCCTGCCAAGGTGCAGAACCACTGGTTAGTGGGGGCTGGGTACAGGTAATCTGATGGACCAGAATCTGTTGGGGGCTGCAGAATGACAGGATGTATTTAGCTGTGTCAGTGGTTCTCAATCCTGACTGCACACTCAGGTCAGGAACTTTCTAACAATCCCATTACCTGGATTCTGGTCATTTAAACTTGGGTAGAATTCAGGAATGGTATTTATAACTGCCCTGTTGATTCTTATATGCAGCCAGGATCAGAAACCACTGTTATGGGGCATGGTTAACCTGAATAATGATTTTTAAAACTTCAAATATATGTACCCAAATGCAGAAATGTCAAACAATTTACCCATTTAGGTATCAATAAATGCCAAGACATTTAAAAAATCTAAATACTGAAGATCATGCACATTTCCATGGAACACTGTAGTAATCACAGCTTTATTGCACACCCCCCACTATACGGACAGATACAGACCACATACCCAATTTTACAGAGACCAGAGACTTCATCCGATCAAAGTGGCAGGGCAAGGAACAGAACTCTAATTCCCTTGCTTACTTACTAAGCCACAGTCTTCTTTGTGGGTTTCCTTTGTAAAAAGCATTAAAAGCAAAACCTGTCCCAAGATCTTCAGAAAATGTTTAATATGCAAATGTGGAGATACACACTGGAGTAAGAGCAGGCTCTCTTCCCTCTAGGAGGCCAGATAAATCAGGACCACAGGGACTCAGTGGAACACACATGCAAAGGGCAGCACGGGCCCGGTCCCAGACCTCTGCCCCCATTTGTGCTAACACACCTGTCAGCCTTGTGAGAATGGGGCCTGGCGGCCATGGGGAGGACACATGCACTGACCTGGTTCTTTTCATGGACAGAACAGAAAGCACTGAGGAGGAGCTTAATGATGGACAAGTGATTATAGCGTGCAGCAACGTGCAAACAGGTATCGCCTGCCTGCGGACAGAAATCAAACTCTGAGCACAATCTGAGCAATTACAAAAAGTTAAAAAAAAATCATTAAAAAACCCGGCAGACTAGCATATGTTCTTTAGAGGGTGTCAGCCTGAATTGAAATGATTCCCTTTACCGTAGACACTACTCCAAGACTCGCAGCTCCGTGCTGTCTGCAGCCCCACCTGCATTCTGCCATGCAGACTCTTTCAGGTCTCATACACTGGGTGCCTGCCCCCCACAAGGCCGTCACAAGAGCGAAGGCAGGCTCTGCTTACCCAGCACTTGATAAGAATCCACTGACCACAGCCTCTCCTGCAGCCCAAAGGCTCCAGAGTATACCGAATTAAGACCAACAGCACCACTTTGGAAACGAGCCCTTTTCCATCATGGGTTCCTCATGGCTCAAAGGACAGGGCAGCAGGGAGAGTGGTCAGATTTTAAGATCACATGTGTTCTAAAAAAATTAGAGCTGCATCCCATTTTAGCAGGACTCCAATATCTCATATGGGGCAGAGTAGTCTGGGGAGCTGATGAGGAAGCAATCACTGGGCATAAAACAGAACATTCAGAAAAACTCAGGATCAAGATCTTCCTTGGTGGTCACAGGCTAAGCTGCTCCCAGAGAGACAAAACGGGAGACAAAGTCATGACATTCTGCAGTGTTTTCTTGAGGTTTTCATCCTAACTTTGTCTAGAGATGGCAACCACTCAGCATAACCTTCTCCCCTGGATTAAGAAGGAGCACACGTGGGAAGCCTGGGTGGTTCAGTCAGTTGAACATCCGACTTTGGCTCAGGTCATGATCTCGCATTCATGGGTTCAAGCCCCACATCAGGTTCTGTGCTGACCGCTCAGAGCCTGGAACCTGCTTTGGATTCTGTGTCTCCCTCTCTCTGCCCCTCTCCTATTCACACTTTGTCTCAGTCTCTCAAAAAATAAAACGTTAAAAAAATTTTTTTAATAAAAATTAAAGAGAAAGAAAAAGGAGCCAAGCCCAAAGCCAAGGTTCAGGGCATTCTGAGACCCACTGTAGAAGAGTCTGCCTTCAGGGAGACCTCAACTAAGGCTTTTTGTGTGGGGGGTGAGGTGGGGGGTGGGGGAAGCCTCAATCTCTAGTTGAGAGCCTGAGGCATGGGACTTACAAAGGAAAAACGGCTGCTTTAGAGGGAGGAGGCACACCCATGTGACCTTGAAAGTCAAGCATTCTCTAAGAACTACTGACCCATCGGCTCATCTCAAGGGCACCTGGGTAATCGATTTGTAGATGCTGGCCAAGGAGCATCAGACCTCCCCTGGATGGCATCAACTGTACAACAATACGTGGGCAGGTTTCCTAGGCTCATCTGCCAGCACACGCTGTGAGAAATGTTAAAACAAACCCAGGCTGAGGAGCGAAGGGAAAAGAAGGGGGGAGAAAAACAGTGTTTGAGTCTTGATGACTCTTCCGACCCTAAAGAACCCCTTAGGACATAGCAAAAAAAAAAAAAAAAAAAAAGAATACTTTATAGATAGTCCCCAAATGCTTTTCACATTTTCATTTTCCAGATGTTAACACTCAAGTATGCTTTCGGAGTTATTTTCCTAGGTGACACAAGAGAGCACAAGAGAAGCCGGTGTTGTTCACCCACGTTATTTTTGAGGTCGGCTCGGGACCCGCCCAGCAGGAGGACTCGTGTGCTCTGGGGGTGGCTGTTCTGGCAGGCCAGGTGCAGAGCCGTGTTCCCCGCCTTGGAGAGAGGCAAGAGAAGGGAGGACACGTTAGCAACAAGCTTCTCGGCAGACCAGCGCCGGGCAGGCTTTGCAGAGGGGTGACGCTTACAGGGAGAGTGTCAATGTTCACATTCTCTGCTTCCTGATTGGTGATCCCAGCAGCAGAGGTGTTTCAGTGGCAAGAACATTTAATGTGGAATCCAAATGGGCACAAGAGGCACATCTGTCATAAAACCTTGGTTCCAAGTCCCAGCTCTACAACTTACGAGTTGAAAGTCACCGGTCAAGGCTCTTAACTATTCTCAGTCTTGAATTCCTTACCTGTTAAATGGAGTGTGACCCCTACGTCCTGAGGCTGTGAGGATGAATTCAGAGTGCCTAGGAGAGTATTCACTTAACGGTAAAATGCTGTGCACACAGCACCACGTTCCATTCCTTTTGAAGAGGACTGCATCCTTCCTGGCCAACACAGATAATAGCTGTGGCTACAAAACACCCCTGGAGTAAAGGCAAAACAGGCCACTTCCTAGAAGTGTAAGTAACTGAGATTCAACTTGTAAGCCTCTCGAAAATCGTCCATTCTTGTATTCTCCTTGAAACATCAAAATTTGAACTACGGATGAGGTACCCACATAGCAGGAAATACAATTATATCCATCACTTACCATACAAATAGAAACCCTCTAGCTCTTTGGACTCTATCCTCAATATGCCAAGTAAAAGTGACAGACAAGGGTCAGAATGATGTCCACAGTAATCTTACAGAAAGAATTCATGACATGAACAGAACTTTTTAAAACCATGCAAACAGTGCCCACAAAAGCTGCTGATAAAGAAAAGTAACAAGAAAAGCAGGCAGCACAAGAGGAGATTCAGTGTTAGAGAGGGCCTAGGAGCATACCGGAGGTTAAATCTATAAGCTCGGTGATTGTTCGGCTGAGCTAAAAAGCTGGGTCAGGACTGCAACTGTGTGGGCTCAAAGCTATTTCATTGCCTGTTTACAGCTTTGCCTCACCCAGGATCTGGATCACACAGCACTGTCTGGACACACTCACAGATGTTCTGTTCCTCACCTCTTGAAAAGAGGAATGAGTTTTATTAAAACACACACACAACAAAACTGTACATCACTGGTTCACTTACCTCCCCTCTCATACCCTTAGCTCTAAGTAGCCTGGTAGAATCTTTCTTCCTCACTGCTCCCTCCAGGAAGTTGGGGGTTGTAAACCTGAGGGTTTAGTGAACTCAGTGGTTACCAACCTTCTGCTGCACCTTAGAGTCACCTGCGGGAGCTTTTAAAACTATCAGCGCTCAGCTGCAATGCTTCCAGGGGCTCTGATTTACTTGGCCTGGGGGGAGGGGGGGTCTGAGAAGCTCAGGTTTTAGCACTAATGAAGTCCCAAATTCCAGGAAACCCCTCAGTTCAGGGGAAACTGGGACAGCCCGTTACCTTTGGCCTGGTTACCAGGTGAGTTTGTTTCTTCTCCCTTCTCTTTTTTTGTTTGTTGAAAGTTTTCCAGGAGATTTTAAAGCACAGCCAGGTAGACAGCCACTGCTAGCTTCCCTCTCAAAAACAAAGGATCTGCCCCCATTTTAAACCCTCCATTCCCTGTGGAAGGGCTCAGTGCCTGGCTTGCTGTGTGATTCTTACTGCACAAGGAGTAGTTTGTCTCAAAGGTGTTGGCTTCGTGGGATTATTAACTGTATTGAATAAACGAATGAAATAAAAGAAATCTGATGGTTCTAGAACTATGTACCAAACTGCTTTGCTAATAAGAAAATATTAATTATGCCGAAAAACATTTGGATCAAGAAAATTAAAAACCGTGGGTTAGCATAAACAAATTATGGTATGTTCACACACTGGAATATTACTTAGCAATAAAAAGGAATGAATTAGGGGCACCTGGGTGGCTCAGTTAAGTGTCTGACTTCAGTCAGGTCATGATCTCGCGGTTCATGAGTTCAAGCCCTGTGTCAGGCTTTGTGCTGACAGCTCAGAGCCTGGAGTCTGCTTTGTGTTCTAGGTCTCCCTTGCTCTCGGCCCCTCCCCCACTCTTACTCTGTCTCTCAAAAAATAAACATTAAAAAAAATGTTTTTAAGGAATTAATTAATCACACATGTAACAACATGGAGGAATCTCAAAAACATTAAGCTAACTGAAGGAAGTCACTTGCAGTGACTTAAAGAAGTCAGATACAAAATGCTGCATACTATACAATTCCATTTGTGTGACATTCTGGGAAAGACAGAACAGGAGCTGGGGGTGGTGGGTGGGAACACGGCCACCAAGGGGCACAAAGGAAGCCTTGGGGTGATGGAAACATCCTATTATCTTGATTGTGGTGGTGGTTACACAACTGTATACTTTTGCCAAAATTCATACAACAGTATACCTAAGACAGATGAACTTTATTGTATATGGATTATACCTCAGAAGCTGACATTTTGAAAACGTGACCTAGGTAGATCTATGTAGCAGGCATTTTTCCCATCCTAATAAGTACTTATTTCCAGACAGGGGCTGATCTAAGAAGAACCTTTCTTATATAACAGAATATGATTCACTCTTAAAAAAAGAGAGAAACTCTATCATTTGTGACACGTATGAACGTGGAGCACATTATGTATGCTAAATGAAACAAGCCAGACAGAGAAATAAATACTGTATGGTATCACTTAGATGTGGAGGGTAGGGCAAATAGGGAGAGGTTGGTAAGTACAAACTTTCAGTTTTTCGATGAATAAGGTCTAAGGATCTAATGTAAAACATGGTGATGACAGTTGGTAAACTATATTGTATAACCAAAATTTACAAAGACTAGAACTTCAATGTTTTCATCAAAAAAAAGTTTTAAAGGGTAAACGTGAGGTGATGGGTGTCTTAAGACATGTATACATATATGAAGCCATCACTTTGTACATTTTAAATATCTTATAATTTTATTTGTCTGTTATACCTCAGTAAAGCTGGGGGTGGGGCGCCTGGGTGGCTCAGTTGGTTAAGCGTCTGACTTCGGCTCAGGTCATGATCTCACAGTTCGTGAGTTCGAGCCCCATGTCGGGCTCTGAGCTGACAGCTCAGAGCCTGGAGCCTGCTTCAGATTCTGTGTCTCCCTGTCTCTCTGCCCCTCCCCTGCTTGCACTCTGTCTCTCTCTCAAAAATAAATAAACGTTAAAAAAAATAAATAAAAAATAAAGCTGGGGGTGGCAGAGGACTTTTCTAGAAGCTTCCTCAGAGGCTGTGGCTGGTACAGAACATGGAAGTCCTTCTTCTGGGATAACACCTACCTTTGCTTCCGCTGTTTTATCCATAGAGAACTTGTGGCTTTCCACAATACTTTTGGGGCCCTACACAGGATAGGAGGCAGTGTGGTGGAGTAGACAGACTCAGGATAGTTTATGGCCCTGACTGTGTCACAAACAAGTCAGGTGTCTTAGATAAGACTACCAGCTCCCAGCTTAGGCTTCCCTACCCATTAACTAGGAACCACCTACTTCTCAGAGTTCGAGGATCTAACGTACACCATGGATTCACCTACAACTCACATTCCACACAATGTACCATGGTGAAGAAATGAAGAAGCCACCAGTCTGCCAGGCATTATTGGAAATATTATGATGCATGGCTTGCTTCTTTTATTCAAGCTTCTGTCCCATGAGGGAACCATGAGAAACATTTAACGAGTAGATGACATCACAGAGCGGTGTGTGGTGCCAAGGGAGCCCTGTAGGAAATACCCTGATGCGCCTTTGGGGAGGGTGCGGCCGCGGCCCTGGAAGCCTGAGTTGGAAGTCTACAGGCAGGAATGAGGAGCGAGATACCCACAGGGAGCAGGGGTGAGCCCACTCTGATAGTACAAGAGGCACATACTAGGAAAAGCACAGGGAAGAGGCTGCAGACATAGACTGAGGCCACTCCAGGGAGGTCTGAGGCAGTGCCGGGCTGAGGAGCTTTACTGGAAGGTTTCTGGGCAGGGGAGGAACAGGATGCAGAAGGAGGGAGGCAAGCTGGCCAATCTGCTGTGAGGCTTCTGAAATAATGCTGGGATGCATTCAGTAATAATGAGCACATGAAGAGGGGGATAAGACCTGAGCAGTGCTGGGAGGGCAGACAGGAAAATGAGGGAGAACAGGTGCTACTGGCCTGCTTGCCTAACCGCACTCCAATAAACCAATGGGAAAGCAGGGAGTCCCAGGAGAGCCCAAAGGAAGTCAAAGCCACTCCAGTTTGTCTTGCTCACCACGGAGATTATGTTCACTATGGAGTTCCAAGCTTTCCTTTCCCCTGCCAGTTTCCACATGCTCTCCTAAGCTCTTGCTCTGCTCAGAGAGGAGGTTCCCACAGGGACAAAAGCCCATAGCCATCCTCACCTGTGAATGGGGAGTTCTAGCACCTGCTAGGCCTCACCTTGTTCTTGGCAAGCACGTTGGCTCCTGCTTTAACGAGCAATTTGGCTGACTGGCTAAAACCGTGCCAGGACGCTTCATGTAGGGCCGTATTCCCATCCTGAGGAACACATACAGAGACAGAGAACACATTACCCAAGACCGAAGTCATCTCATTATAATCAGTACATTGTAGCGTATTCCTAGGCCACACCACAGGTCCTTTTGATTTCAAAAGAGGCTTGTCGAGGCACCTGAGTGGCTCAGCTAAGCGTCCGGCTTCGGCTCAGGTCATGATCTCACAGCTCAGGAGTTCGAGTCCCGTGCTGGGCTCTGTGCTGACAGCTCAGGGCCTGGAACCTGCTTCAGATTCTGTGTCTCCCTCTCTCTTTCTGCCCCTCCCCCCGCTCATGCTCGCTCTCACACTCACACTCTCTTTCTCTCTCTCAGAAATAAACACTAAAAAGAAAAAAACCTTCTCATCTGAACCAGAGCCCAGAAAATGATTTCAGTGGCTAGTTTCTCCATTCTCCCAGAAATAGTACGTAACAAGTACCATTTTAGATTTACGATGTACAATGGATGCCTTCAGGCATTAGGGCTTAAATCTCCCTGGGAACCCTGGCTGAAAAAGGCTCATCCACAGGTCACATTTAACAGAAAGCAACATCAAGATGGCAGGCAGATGTTCATTCCTTCCCACCTCCATCACTCCTTGGGGTCTGCTCCGCTCTGCTCCTGACCCCAGAGAGAACCCTGCAAAGTCCAGGCAAACGAAGAGTCCAGCTCCGTAAGTTGCCGGGCCCAAGGACCAGGGAGGCAGATTCCTCCTCTCTTTTTCTTTCCCCAAATTTAATCTGACCCAGCTTAATCCAACGTCTCAGGGACCGAAATAAATAAGCAGGCACCAAGAAAGCAGTGAGTTGTAAATAATATAAACAAGTGTCCTCAATATGTGGCTTAAAAAAAAAAAAAACCAACCAATTAACAAACACAGCTGTATTCGGTTAACTTCCTACAGAAAAAGAAATATTAAATGCAGTGAAGTGTGTGGGGTGGGGCTGAGAGGGTCGGGGTTACAGGGAGAGAGAAGCACAGAGAGGAGAGGTAGAGAGACCACCTGTGCTGTTCCAGGTCAGAGAGCAGGGCACTGTCCAGTCATGTCCAGGCACTGGCTCTGACTTTATTCATCCATACCATGAGACAGGCTGAATGGTGTGGACAACCCACAAGTGGAAGTCTAGGCTCTCAAAGGCCATAGTCGGGGAGTGACCCTACAGAGTGAAATGGTGCTGGGAAGGTCAGTGGCGATGTGCGGCCTGGCCAGTGGGACTGACTGCACAACGCAGGAAGCAAAAGTAAAAGTGACTGGACAGGGGCACTGTTGAGGGGGCCTCCAGTGTGCTGATGTGATCTGCTTCTTGATCTGGGGGCTCACATAGATGTGCTCTGTTAGTGAACACTCATGGAACTTTACACGTATAACGTGCACATTTTTCTGTATATATATTACATGTAATAAAAAGTTGTCTAAAAAAGTAAGCAGAGGCTGAACTGCACCTAATTGTGAAGTTCCATGTTTTAAGACTGTTTAACAATTTATTTATTTTTTTATTACATTTATTTATTTTTGAGAGACAGAAAAGACAGAGCACAAGTGAGAGAGGGGCAGAGAGAAGAGGAGACACAGAATCCAAAGCAGGCTCCAGGCTCTGAGATGTCAGCACAGAGCCCGCTGCGGGGCTTGAACTCACGAACCGTGAGATATGACCTGAGCCGAAGTCGGTTGCTTAACCGACTGAGCCATCCAGGCACCCCGAGGCTGTTTAACAATTTAAAAGCAACAAATCAGGAGCACCTGGGTGGCTCAGTAGGTAAAGCGTCAGACTTTGGCTGAGGTCATACCTCACGGTTCATGAGTTCGAGCCCCTCAGCGGGCTCTGTGCTGACAGCTCAGAGCCTGGAGACTGCTTCGGATTTTGTGTCTCCTCCTCTCTCTTCTTCTCCCTCACATGTGCTCTGTCTTTCTCTGTCTCTCAAAAATAAATAAATAAAAGCAACAAATCAATATGTCATTGGGATTTGTTAAAGAATTGATTTTGGGGGGCGCCTGGGTGGCGCAGTCGGTTAAGCATCCGACTTCAGCCAGGTCACGATCTCGCGGTCTGTGGGTTTGAGCCCCGCGTCGGGCTCTGGGCTGATGGCTCAGAGCCTGGAGCCTGTTTCCGATTCTGTGTCTCCCTCTCTCTCTGCCCCCCCCCCGTTCATGCTCTGTCTCTCTCTGTCCCAAAAATAAAAAAATTTTTAAACGTTGAAAAAAAAAAAAAGAATTGATTTTGCTTATTGTTTTTCTTCCAATATTGTTTAAATAAATTAACTTGCTCACTTTCCTTCAAAAAAAAAAAAATTGGAAATAGAGTCCGGGGCACATCCCTTTCCCCACCCAAGCCTCCACAGATCATTATTTCTAGACTTTTTTTTTTACCATTTATACATATGTGGTTGCCCACTGCTGCCACAGAACAGGGTAAAGGATCAAAAAAATTAATATTTATTGGGATATTAGATACTCTTGCAAAAGAAAGGCTGAATTTACCATGTTAACTCACGATAAATAGGACTCAGCAATGATAACATATTGAGTCGTCACAAGTTCCCCAAGCAGGGTCCTCAGGCTGATATGCCCCATGTCACCTTGTCTTGGCGGTCCAGAGCACAGCCCTCCTGGATGAGCGCCGCGATGACTTCCGTGTTCCCCACCACTGTGGCTCGGTGCAAGGCGGTCTGATCCCCCTGCAGAGTGACACGTAGGCAGGAACAGCAGTCAGCTCTCCCAACCCCCCACTGCACCACTCACTACTCTGACACAAGGACATCTCCATCCTCGATTGCAACAGACTGGTCACCCTGCCAGGTGGTGCATTTTTGTTCACAAACTTAGTGGGAATCTCAAACCAACCACAAAACAGCTCCAGAGCTGACTTTGGAATGAGGGTCAGGCACTCACCCGCCACCCCAAGGAAAGGCAGTGTTCAGAGGGAATATGACTGTCACATCTGTGAAAAGCTAGACTGTGTGTGTGATACAATTAAACCAGCAATCTTTACTCCCCATTGAGTTCTCTACTCCCCACTTTCTCTCAGAGGAATGACTATCCAGCCATGCCAGTTAGCAACACTCATGATTTGATGACGGGTACGTTTTTTTTTTTTTTTTTTTTTTTTTTTTTGACTTTATGGGCCAAGAGCAATGGAGGGATTTATGCTGTGTCATCTGAGGACTCCAGGACTACAAGCTGTGTAAGTCATTGTGTAAGTCTATGAAGCCTCTTCTGATATTTCATGACAGCATCCTCACTGACTTATGATGTATTTGACCCCTTTTTCTATAATCAGGTGCCTGGGACTGCCGACCTTCTCTTTCTCCATCAGGGCACCAAAGGGAACTTGACTCTTGCCCCAACTGCATTAGAGAGGAGGTAAGATGGTCAAGATAAGAGAGAGTTCTAAAGTCTCTAAGAGCAATCTCATCTCTGACATGTACGCAGGAAGTCCAGTTGAGACAAATCAAGTCTAGCCTGGGGTCCAAACTGAAATGGGGAGAAAGGTGAACAGTGTGGGAAACTTCTTGTAGGAAGGAAGGGGTATGGGGCAAGGGGTTCAGGAGATGTGAGTCTTACACAGCCTTGGGAAACACAGGCCACCTTGCTGCGCCTTGGGTTGAGGGGTGGATGACCTCCAAGGTCTCTCCCTTCCCTTCTTGGGTTCTAGGATTTGGTTGGTAAGAGTTTTGCATACATAAAATGTTCTGGTGGAGCACCAGAGGGGCAAAGGCACCTCTTGTGGCATCCCTTGTCCTGAGCCCAAGAGAGGAAAGAGAGACTATTATAAGACAGAAAACATGGGGATTTTGAAAAGAGGGATGCACTGCTACCTATAAATAGCCTTAATGAAATGCTGAGTCTACTTACCGAACACCCTAGAATCTATAACCAACAACAGTGCACATTAAAAGCACTTAATCCAAGAATCAATTCTGGAGATGGATGGTGGTAATGGTTGTATAACAACGTGAATGCACTCAATGCCACTGAGTGTACAGTAAAAAATGGTTAAAATGGTAAATTTTATGTTACATGCATTTTATCACAATAAAAAAGCACTTAATGCTATTTAAAACTCAAATTCACTTTCTTAAAATTAAAAAAAAAAAACCTCCATTTAAAAATCCATGAGGGGAAATGATTTTTATTTTCTTCCTCATAATTTTTAATACTTTCCAACTTTTTATATTTAACACATATAATTTTAGCAACAGCAAACACTGCTATTTATTAAAAGTCTAAGCTGTAACAATATATATTAATAATGGGATTGTCCACATCTTATAATCTTTTCTCACTGTTCAGTTGTAGAATTTAAGGGATTTACACAGTGATGGGTCAGGACATCCAGCTCCATTATTATGATTTATCCACTGTCCACAGCATTTCTATCATGAACCCTCCCCTTGGCATCCTAAATCCTTATTCCCAGTATAAATTAGGTTTGGACATGGCTTTCTTCTCATGCATCTTCCCAGACCCCTCACTCAAGAAGAACCCTTTCTGCATGCCTTGTAGTCACAAGAGAATGTGGCCACTGGATCAGTGGCTGCAGGAGGTGTGTAAAGCCATTAATGTCCGTCTCAAACATCTTCAGGAGTGTTTCCAGATGATGTACACTTAATGTCCAAACAAGTAATACTATGAGAAACTGCCCAAGTCTTAACTTTATAAGAATTTCCAAGACTGGCATTTCCCCATCAGAATGGTGACAAGTTTTCCCAAAATGGACCTCAAGTGCAGTTTATGACCTGATGAGAAAGATGGTGCTCTGTTCTTGGCAAGAAAGAGGAGACCACAGCTCACTCCTCCAGAGTAAACACCGACAAGCCCTTTTCATATTCCCACAGACTGCTGGCACTCTACTCAGCACTCCACCAACCTTTTTGCATAATAGGTTCTGTCCCAGTCATGCACAAAGCCTCAAACTCATGGGTCGTGTTGGCCACTCTTCCATGCGAGTCATGGCACAAAGGGCCTCTGCTGGTTAAGGCACATTCTAAGCTAAGCCTTGCTACAGGTCATTGGTTTATTGTGTTTCACAAGCTGCCACTAAATCACGAATTGAGGCAGCTTTGGAGCCAGAACATCACCATTATTTATTACTTGCTCTCAGCATGAATCTACTGTTTTTGCTTCCCTGTGGAGAGGACTTTCCTTTGCGAAACTCTAACTCAGTGAAAGAAGCTAAATCTAACTTTCAGTTTAGCCTTTGGAAATTCCCAGGTGGGTTATCGAGACTCAAGGAGATCTAACGACTTCTGTGAGGTTGCAGCGAGAACACAAATTGTCCTAAGCCACTGGCACCGGTGTCTCCTGTAGTGACCTTTTAGAGGCACTGCCTGTCTCCAGGCCATAGCTTCCCCTCCGTCTTTACTCCCCTCTGAGACCTCACTCAGCCTGGGTCCTGGCCTCATGAGTTGGATAAACACTGCTGGGAAGGCACCAACATCAGCCTTTCCACCATAAGTGGCTGCCCTTTAGCTCTGTCATTAGCTTTGGGAACACTACACGGGACAATTCTGGAGGACTGAGTAAGACACTTTCTCTGGCCTAAAAACCCAGCTACCCTAAAGTTACCAAGATGAGAGTTAAACTCAGAGAGACATGAAATACATAAGCAAAGGGACACCTTGGGCTATCTTAGGCTACTCTTCCCAGAACACAATACAATAAAGCACCTGAGACCCTCAATTGAAATAGGGCCAATTTCCTGGAAATCACCTTCCTCCTCTAAAATTTACTGTGGGAACATTTCCTCTGTGAAATAGGACCCAGAAGACAATAAAATGTGTCCTCAATACATACTTATTAACAGACCCAAGCAGCATCTTTGACATAATCCTTATTTCTATGATATAAATAAACCCTGAAATTCTGAAACTTTGAAAAAAGATGCTAGAAAAAATATGACACTCTTGTCAGCAGTTACTCGTTCAATGCATATTTATTGACTCTCTACTGTACTCCAAGTGGCATCATTTTATTGATAAAAACAAAAAACAAAAAACTAAGGCTCAGGGCAGTTCAGTGCCTAGCCTAGGATAACCAGCTAATTCGGGGTAGCATGGTCAAGCCAGAATTCAATCTGTCAAGGCTCTTTGCACCTACTCCAAGCTCGTTCCACCCTATGAAGTCAATTAGCCCCAGTGCAGGCCTTAAAAAAGATCAGGTCCCTCTGTGGGGTTGGAGCTGCCTCTTTATGGCATCATCTAGCTAAGTGCTTTAACACAGTGCCCTGGCCACTACAGGTGCCCAAGAAGTATTTGCCAAATGATTAACTACAAAGAAGCAGAAGGAAAAACACTGCAGTGGGAAACTCGGAGAGCCAGCAACCTTGCAGTTTGGCATTTTGATTTGGAACATGCTGACCTGTTTGCAAAGTGCATGAACTGCCAGCTCTCAATTTTTCTGACTTCAGAAAAATTGACTTTGGGAACTTAAGGCGTTTGGAACCTCTGAGGTCTCAATATTTGTTTCACAATGCTTTTAGTTCTCTCTCCTACATGATGAAAAAGAATGAGCACAGTACAGGCAGATTTCAAAGCTAAGCTCATGGAAGAAACCCGAGTCATGCAAAGGTGGAACATGTCCCTCTTCAGGAGGAATCCCTCCCAGGAGGCACAGACAGACATGTTGCAAGGAAGCCCGAGACAGCGTAGGTGTGCAAAGCAAATTGCTGACCTCTTGTTCTCTCTCTGATCTTCTAGGGTTCTTCCTAGCCTTTCTTCTCTGTTTTTTCTTATTTTTTTCTTCCTTCATGGCTTTTATCATGGCCACAGGGTCCTGGGCTATTTCTGAGGTAGGGGCCGTGTGGTTGCTCATTGACCAATCAGAGATGGCATTAGAGCTCCAATGTGTGTTGACAGGATTGGCAGGAAGCCAAGGGGAATTTTCTCCTGGAGTTGCATATTCTAAAGAACTGGTTTCCACAGGTTGAAATTCATAATAATCCCACTCCAGGCCACTGGAGGTCATTCTTCAACTAATTCTCAGTCCTTACTGTGACATAAGGAACGTATCTGTAGAATATGAAGTTAGAAGTAAATTCTTCATAATATTAACATTCTCTATTTCTACCCATCATCCAAGACAGGTAACTTCTGAACTGATTATTTCCAATAATTAATATCCCAGCTTCTTTAAAAAAACACATATAGTTTTCTTCTTCAGATTCTTGCATTAAGTTTCAAAGCCGATCAACAGGCATGGTAAATACGTAGAAGAGAGACGTGAACAATATTCTGGTGAACACATTACTTCAGAATTCTACCTTCTCCATTCCCAGCAGCTTTTACACTGTTTTGTTCTGGTGTTTCTGTTTTGTTTGTCTGTCTTGATTTAAGTTATCAGGGACAAGCAATGTATAGATTGATTAGGTCAAGGAGAAGATGCAAGAAAATACATTATTCCAATAAATGAAACACATTGTTCCCATCTAAAAGTAGAGGTGAATTTCCTTTTGCTGACATGTCTCCCCTTAGCTACCTTGTGAAAACTCCTATTTTACTTCCTACCTTGCCTGATATAAACGCCCACAGTTCTAAGAAGTTAGCATGGCTCTTGCTGCATGAGAACACAGTGATTCTTGGAGCTCAAGAGCTGAGGCAGGAGTTGGCGGACCTGGCATGGTAGCCTTGCCACCATGGCCAGTGAGGACTTCAGTTATGCAAAGAGAAGACCAGAGGCATCCCAACATGTTTGCACCAGCATCCCAATGCCCTGCCTTTTCTGTGGTCAGAATGTCTTCTCTCTCCTTGTATTTTCACTCCTGTCATCTAAGGATATGATAGAATCAGGAATGTTATCATGGTTACAGTGTAGGGAAAATGTATTATGACCCAAGGTAGAAATCAACAGCTGAAAGTTAAATCAGCATCTTTTGAAAGTAACATTTTTGATGACCCAATGATTCCAAATATAACCAGAGATTTATGAATGATACTGGACAGCCTTCTGCCTGTACATAAAACAATGACATTTAGTCATTTCTTTGTGAATGCTGTCCTTCTCACCATATGTTTGCCAAGTTTTAGGACATTACAAAGATACCTACAGAAAACTAGATGCACTTTGGTAACCTATACCCTGCTAGCACACCTGAGGGGCTAAAATTTGATTAACACTCCCATACCCTCAGTTATCAAAGGTCAATCAGGAAGAGATTATGATATGTGCAAGTTCTGTAAGATTCTCTGTTCCTCACAAAACTTCTTGTTTCTTAAAGTCCTACCACACAAATTAGAGTTGAAATTAGGAACAGTTTCTGAAAATAATTTCCAATTACATTATCATAAGGCTGTTTCCTAATAGCTCACTGGAGGACAATTCATTTCATCTTATTTATATCCTCTTCTTAGAGAATCTACTTCCTCAAAGATCCAATAGGCAACCCTGTGCACCACATGACCTCATCCCCACCACTGGTGATTGAGTCAGGAATGAATACTTGACTGTAGAGGAGCCAATTGGAGTCTTTGTCTACATAATCTGAATGAAGAAACTCAAAATCTTTTTTTTTTTTTTTTTAAGTCGGCTTCATGCCCAGTGCAGAACCCAACGGGGGCTTGAATTAATGACCCTGAGATCAAGACCTGAGCTGAGATCAAGAGTTGAACACTCTCAGCTGACTGAGCCGCCCAGGTGCCCCAGAGACTGAGTCTTAATAAAGGCATAACATGAGAGGAAACTCTTTCAGGATGCTTCCTTTTTCTTGGATTCCATGATATGTTAATTTTTTATTTGAACAGGTCCTTTAAAACTAAACGTATCCTAAGAGAAATCAAAGTGAGAAGAGGAAAAAGTCAAGTTTTTAAGCCCCACTTTTTCTCTAACGGTAAGCTTGGTCAATGACACATTTCCCACAGGCCTTGCCCACACTCACTCGTGTGTGTGTGTGTGTGTGTGTGTGTGTGTGTGTGTGGTGTGCTCCTTCACACCAAGACAGGACATAGACAATATGCCTTTGAGGCTCTAGACGTAGATGATACTAGATAGCACATGAACCATGATGGGAAAACCACCCCAAACTTGCAAACTATAGCTTGCTACTGGGAATGGGTCCCAGGATAGGTCTTCAAGAAGAAGGTCCCCGTGGGGACCCCATGGAGACCAAGATGGAGCTAAAAAGTGCTAGGAGAGCATCTTCTACCCTCCCACTGCCTAGCTGCTTACATACTATACTGTGTATTTCCAGATAGACAAGCTCCCAAACAACCCATCCCAATAGAATGTGGTTTCTACTCACATCATCCTGAACATCAAGGTCACAGCCAGCCTTCAGCAAGATCTGGACCACAGAAAGATGGCCCTTATTGGCAGCAAGATGAAGGGGGGTCCGGCCATGCTGTTAATGCAAAGGAAACACTGATTTCAGAACAGGATATCAAAACCACTTCCCTAGAGGCAGGTGTGGCCCTAGAGCAAGCTTTACACAGTCGGAGCCCCCTTCCCCTTCAGTTCGGCAGGAGATCCTTATATATTTACTCAGAATTCAAGTTTGTCTCTGTTAACCTTTGTAATTGGCATTGTAATAAATGAATAAAATATGCTAAAAACGCGAAGATTTCCTTTGGTGAATAATTTCTACTCCACACTCATCAAACAAATAGGAAAATGAAGAGTTTCATGTTTTCTCTTATTTTCTCCTTGGTGCTAACACTCAGGGATGATGAAGTGGTCACAATGAATCAGATGGGGCAAAAGATGAAAGAACAGCAAAAGGTCAAGCTAATCAGCCCCAGAAAAATCTGGTTAGTAATTATTAAAATTTGAAACTACTGGCCAGACTGTTCTGAATAGGTTCTCCCTTTTTTTTTTTTAATTTTTTTTTTGAACGTTTATTTATTTTTGGGACAGAGAGAGACAGAGCATGAACGAGGGGCAGAGAGAGAGGGAGACACAGAATCAGAAACAGGCTCCAGGCTCCGAGCCATCAGCCCAGAGCCCGACGCGGGGCTCGAACTCGCGGACCGCGAGATCGTGACCTGGCTGAAGTCGGACGCTTAACTGACTGCGCCACCCAGGCGCCCCGGTTCTCCCTTTTTTTAAACAAAATTTAAAATTACAAAATAGGGGCGCCTGGGTGGCTCAGTCCGTTAAGCCGTTGACTTCGGCTCAGGTCATGATCTCACATTTCATGAGTTTGAGCCCTGCATTGGGTTCTGTGCTGACAGCTTGGAGCCTGGAATGTGCTGTGTATTCTGTGTCTCCCTCTCTCTCTCTGCCCCTCCCCGGCTCCCACTCTCTCTCAAAAATAAGTAAACATTAAAAAAAATATTTAAATAAAATAAAATTACAAAATATTTCAGCCATTCAAAAATATGAATATTTTTAAATGTACATACCTACAAGTCACTTTAAGAAAACCTTAGAGAAATTATAGATGTTCCTTTTGAACCTCTTCCAGATTTCATTTCCCTTCAGCTCCAGAGGTAATCACTCTTTTTTTTTTTTTTAAGATTTTATTTTTAAATAATCTCTACACCCAAGATGGGGTTTAAACTCACAACCCCAAGATCAAGAGTTGTATGCTCTACCGACTGAGCCAGCCAGGCACCACAAGGTATTGGTATTCTTAAATTAAATTAAATTAAATTAAATCTGGTATTTTTCATTCCTTTGCCTTTAATTACATATTTTGCTACGTGGGTATAGCCATAGATAATAAATATTGTTTTGCTTATTTTAGAATCTTACATAAATAGCATTAAACTCTTAAAGTATCACTTGGCAATTTTTGTCCAATGTCATATTTTTGAGATTTCTTCTCATATTGTCGCATGTAGTTCCAGATCATTTATTCATTATTCACCCATTCCCTACTGATGGGCATCCAGGTTCTTTTCAGTGGTTTGCAGAACGCACTTGTGTGCACGTCTCCCTATGCACCTGAATAGGCTTCTTAGCCTTGTGATCGGGTCACAGAAAGGACTGTTTCTTCAATAGCCCTCTAGTATAACACGGAGGGTAACACCCAGAATAACTCTTCAGTGTAAATCAACTTCTATCCAGAGAACTGACCTTGCGAAACTCCAAATTCTAAAGGGGACATCGTATTTCCTTTGCTTTTCCCTTCAAGTTCACTGTGAAGAAATCTACCTCCTGCTTCAAAAATCATTTAGCCACTGGCTCCCATCCATACTGAAACACACCCTGACGGGCTCATATGGGTCTCTTAATAAGGGAGAAATAGTCTCTTACATCTCTCTACACCTCAATAAAATTCTCCAAAGACCTTTATTGATATTCGAGCGGAATAAACTCATTTATGATCTCCATAAAGTGTCAGTTTGCCATGGGTAACTAGCCGTGGAGGAAAACACAGATAGCAGACAATAAAGGATCTTAATTTCTACGCATGAAATGCAATCAAAGCACTAGAATGATTCTGTAAAGAAAGAGGTCAGAGCTCACTTTAAAATTAGAATTCTTAATTAAGAAAAAAGTTAGTCCCAACAAAGTGGGCTATAAAAAGCCTTCATAAAAAGGCAATGTCTGAGAAGAGATGGAGTGACCTTCCTTGGCTAGCAACTGTCTCAGTGCACACTGCTTAACCTTGATTCTTTCCATGAAAGTCCACAGCTGATCAGATGGAGCAAAATAAGCAGGTTCCACTCACTGGGCCTGGTCCCAGGCTCCATCTGTCATCACGTGTCCTTCTTAAGGACATCAGAAAATGACCTTCACCAAGTTTCTAGGCATTATGACACACAGAAAGTTTGTTACTCTCGGGAGGAGACGGATGTGTGTGCTGTGAGGAAGGCTGACAGGACGGTAGGACACAAGTGCTTCTGAGCAACTGAAAACATAAACCATGATGAGGAGAGTTTGCTGGAGAGAGCCTGGAAGAGAGGACAAAGGACAAGGAATCTCAGGGTGTCAGATGAGGGAAGCCTGAGGAACATCCTCGTCAGGAACCAGATGTGGCTGGTTGGAAGCTGAGGCACAAGGAGGCAAAAGGGTTTGCCCAAGTGAACACAAATAAGCAGAAGACAGAAGGAAATGGTGCTGTGGTTCAAACCAGGTCATACCTGGGAAGGTGCTTTAGAAACTATAAATTACTAACAAGATGCCTTGGACTGGCATCCAAAGTCAACAGAGAATCCTCTCTCTGCAGAAAGGACAGGCTGGAGGCAACGGAGCCTGACGTGCCCAGTTCAAATCCCAGCTCTGACTAATCACCCCTATGGAACTTTGTCCACAACACTCTCCTGAGCCCATTTTCTCACCTATAATATAGGAAGAGGCTGGGGTGCCTGGTTGGCTCAGTTGGTTAAGTGTCTGACTCTTGATTTTGGTTCAGGTCATGATCTCACAGTTCATGCGATCAGGCCCCCATTTGGGGGGTGCAGAGCCTGCTTGAAATTCTCTCTCTCCTTCTCTCTCTACCCCTCCCCTGCTTTCGCTCTCTCAAAATAAATAAACACACATTTAAAAAATTATAAAACAGGAATAGCCTGCACTATCCACCCCATTATGCTTGAAATAAGAGTAACATCCACCATCGAAGACAGGGTTTTTTTCCCTTCCAGCTGTCCTGAGCCCTCACCCCTGAAGACACCCCAATTGTTCCCTCTCCTCCTTGACACCTTTGCACCTCTGCCTTAACAAAGACCAGTGAGATATTTTCAATGGCAAACAGACTCAGGTGAAGGGTTGGAAATCAGATCACTTGGATGGCCAAATGGGCCCCTAGCTGAAGGGTCATTTCCTACTGGCCAGTCCTGATCCACATGTCCACTTCCATCTTTGAAATACAGCCCACAGTTTCCGGTCTCTGTGTTTCTGCTGGATGGGCCTTCTTTCCTGGCAATGCCCTTCTCCAAACTTTGCCTTCTTTGACTCAGCAAGAAACATTCCTGGTCTTGTCTTCTCTGCTCCCACAGTGCCTCAGCTTCCTCCTAGGAAACCAGCACATTCTGTTTTGAATGTCACCCTGGGCACTGGCATTTTCTTCCAACCAGGCTATAATCTCCCTGAGGTCAGGACTGTGCCTTCCATGACGAGGAAGCAAGTTGCTTCTGGGATGGTACAGAGCCATGTCAAAGAGAAGCCAGTGTTCCTCAAGCACAGGCAGGCTGAGGCTACCAGGGACATGGGAGCAAATTCCAATTCCAGGCTTGGCCTCAAAGAAATGGAGAGCCTAGGGGTGCTCTAGGTTCTTGGATGTCTCAGCCCCTCAGTGGAAGTGTAAACAACTGGGGGTTTCATTAGTACTTAAGCAGGTGCAACAGTGACATGAGGACTTCTCTGAGAAGGGTGAATGTCCTCCTCACATGTCTGGCTCCCTTTCTAGCACCAGGTAAAAGTACAGCAGCATCAAAGGCAATAGGAATCAGTTTCCCACCGAACCTGAAGCTGTCCACTCCCGTTCCCTGGGTTTCCTAACACAAGACCAACTCCCTTAAACACACACATACACACACACACACCACACCATCACCACCACCACCCAAAGGTGGAGAGAAAGAAGCAGATATGTAATTGTTTTCTAGAACATTCTATTGTGAAAAGCAACAAAAGTAGAGCCAATCCGGGAAGTGGCTGCTCCCAGCAGGGATACCCCAAGGTCAAGCCTGACAAATGGGGAAGGCTGCCCCCCCTTAAGTGTGAGGGGGCAAATAATAACTGACCCTTAGAGGGGTATTTGAATGATTTAGACTCAAGGATGCAACTGCCATCATTTTCATGCCCCTAGGAATGGCCAATGAAAGAAATGGGTAAAGGAGAAAAGACTGTGAACTATGAATAAGACAAAGAAATTTCTGAAGCCTCCATTTGTCCTGGGACCTACCCCAGTTCAATAACCTGTTCAACTCAACTCAACCCAGGCCCTACAGGGATTAGGAAGACCACTAATAATAAGGACATGAGCAAGAGACAGAAGCAGCTAACATTTAGCAGCAGCTAACATTCATGATACTTACATGACAGGCACTATCTTAAGACTTTTACTTGTAATAGCTCATTTAACCCCCCCCACCCACCCATGACTCTATGAGGTAGGCACTATTAAGATGAGGAATTTCCATTTTACAGGTGATGAAACTGAGGCATGGAGGGATGAAACTGAGGCCTGTCACCTTTTCTATGTCATACAGCAAGTAATTAGACTCTGGTTTCACCCCTAAGCCGTCTGACTCTGGCCCCCAAGCTCTGACCCACCATTCTACCTGCCGCCTGCTTGCTGGGGGGTGAGGTGGGTGATGCTCTCTTCTAGCAGAAGGGTTCCATGTCTCAGTGTTAGGAAGCTCCCAAGACTCCCAGATGATGACCTCTGGATATAACCTGGTTTCTTTAAATCTCAAGGATGAGGAGAGAGGTTTTCTACTCTCACTGTACATC